ACTTCGCGTGATCTTCACACCACACGAGTCGGTCGCCTGCAAAGCTGTGTTTGCGTCGTCCGCTCGCGCTCGTCTCTTTGCCGGAGTCGGCTGCTCGATTTGAAGTTTCAAGTCGCCGACTCGCGCTTCGCCTCCCTCGTTCGCTTGTGTACAGACTGGAGTTGGCTGCGCGGCCTCACTCGAGTCGTGTACACGCAGCCCTTCGTCCCCTATCGTGGTTGACATTGAGGCTGCGGAGATGCATGGCTGCGCTGCATCTCCGCGTTGAAGTTTCCCAACAATTGTCGAAGTGCAACACATCTCGGACACGTCAAGAAGGTCGCGTTTTCCATGCCGCAGAATTGACATTTCTCCGTCGGGGAAATCGACACCGCAGGAGGTCTCGAGCAATCGGGCGCTCGATGTCCGAACCCTTGGCATCGATAGCACTTCGTCCGCGAGCACTCTCTCGCTCTATGTCCCGTCTGGCCACATTCGTAGCAAGCTCCGACAAAACCGCCAGCAGCGCCGCGCGGCTGCGGCGATGTCGTCTGCTGTGCCGTCGGTGCATCTACGTTCGCGTTTGAATTCGCGCTCGCACTTTTCTTTCCGCCGTTCGAGTTTTGCTTATTCGAAGCATTACTCGAGGACGCGCTCGTATTCGTCTGCTCGGCCGACAACGCACCGACCTTCGCACCTTTCGTATCCGCGAGAGCGGCTCGATCTCTGCCACTTTTCTCGATTTTCGCATCGAGTGCTCTTCCACGCTCGTATCTCAATCCGCGACTCTCGATCGTGTCAATCGAGTTCGGGCACTCATCATTGAGTACGAGTCGGTACGCCGCGCGTAAGTTTCGCCACACTATACGAGCCAGCTTCTTCTCGGTCGGCGGTTCGTCGAACTGCATCACGAGGTGCCGCACGAAGGTCAAGTACTCCGAGATCGTCTCGCTCTTGCCCTGCACTCTGTGCTGCAGCTCGTCCATTATATCGTCTTCGTCGCATAGGCCGATATACATGTTTTTAAACGCGGTCTCGAAATCCGCGAAAGTGACGAAACGGCGCTTATGCGTGCGATACCATAGATCGGAGCTGTCGTCCGAGTTAAAAGCGAAAGACATGACATCGAAAAATTCGGTGAGTGTCATCGGCACACTATCTCGAAATTCTTTCACTCGCTCTAAGAATAATTGCGCCTTCGTTTTGTCGCCGCTTTTAAAATTCAATTTGTAGCTCGCGAGAAGCCTCATGAATTTTTCGCGACGCAACAATCCGTCCATCTTACGACCCGCACGTACACGATTCACTCTCTGCTCGGCCTCGCTCGCTTCGCTGCTGCTGGCCGAACTCTCGCGTGGTAACTTCGTTCGCTGCTTCACTTTACGCTGCGATTTACTCACGACGCGCTTCTCTTCCTCGCTGCTCGAGTCCCGTGGTTTTCGACTCACGTTCTTCTGCTTACGCTCGCGAGGGTCGGCTCGTAGGCTCGATCTCTTCCGCGGCTTCTCATCACCTCCGCGCTGCTCGTCGAAGGAACTCGCTGACAAGCGAGCCAGCTGTTCGCTCAGCTGCTGCATTTGCGCAGCTAATTTCGACCGACCGGTATTCCGAACAGGCGTGCTCGCACGCGACGTACTTCTGCTCGTGCTCGACCGACGCGAGCTTTCACACTCCGTCTCTTCCGCGATTGTACTCTCTTGAGGCCGGCTTTTCCTATGCCGACGTGAAGAGTCGATCGGTGTCGGCGGCGGCGTCCAGCCTCGAGCCTGCAGCGCGAGTCGCGTGGGCTCGTCGGGCTCCGCGTTCATCCACGCGCTCATTATCGGCGCGGAGCGAACATTCAACGCGTAATTGCCCGCTGTCGTGCCGCTGCTCGTCAACGAGTTCGCGGAACTCGTTGTCACCGTCGAGCTTGTCGCCGTGTTTTTCGACGTCGTGACCGCACCTGCCTCCTCGAGATCGACCAGCTGCTCGCTGTCGCGTGGTACAACGTTAAATGTAACGTTGCCGTCGATCTCGGGCGCCCAGCTCGCGGACTCGTACCCCTGCAGTCGGAGCCACAGACGCAGCAGACGGTCTCGCGCTTCCTTCGCTGATCCCAGCGTGTTCGCACCGCTCTTCGCCAGCTCCCTGAGCACCTGCTCATCTTCAAGAGCGACGACTCGACCGACCGTGCTCTTCCCCTCGTCCGAACCACGAACCACCTTACGCGCTGTACGCTCGAGACTCTGAATCTCGCTAGGCGTTGGCATTTTTATCTCAAGTTTGCGAGTCTGTCGAGACTCGCACCGACTTGATTCGCGACGACTCCGATTCGAGAACGCTTCCGCGCTTTGTTTACCTTCCACGCAGGCAAGTCCGCGCGGACTTGTTTACGTTCTATGTACGCGGGCGCAGGCCGCACGGGCCGTGCGCCAAAGCGTCGCCTCTCACGTACACAACTGTGTTCGCGTTCGCCGAAATCGACTCCGAATTCCGCGCTCACAATAGAACGACAGGTTCGAACTCGCGACTGCCTCGAACGTTCTATTTACGTTTTGTCGAACTATCGGGCTTGGGCGCTTATCGCCGCGTGCCACGAATAGCTGACCTTCGATTCTCGCAAACAAGCAGTATTCGTGCAATCTAGCAAATTCTACAAAGTGAAATTGGAACGCCAGTTCCAACCTCCCCCACACCTAAGATGCCGTACACCTCGGAGACGATGCTCGTTGTTACGAGCCGTCGACGTCCGCGGGCCAATTTATACAGGCCCAGTAATAGGCGTTAATCACTCGTTTATGTAGACCTAGCAACACACGTTAGGGCGCCAGTTTATAACGGCGCATCCGCGCGGGCGACGTACGCCTCGCTTATCGCTCGTAGATGCGCCGCAATTTTGGCTTTTGCGTCTCGGTGTGCTCGTCGGCTTTACCGCACGTGCGGAGCGCCAGACGACCACGAGGTCGTCGCCGACGAACGCCACAAATACACTCTCCTACTTGACTACCTGGCCGGCTAGCCCAGGTACCCCGCAACTCGCTCAGGGCTTCGCGAATTCGATGCAACGCTAGGTCTGCTCGCACGCGCCGATGTATCGCGCCTATCTCCGCGTCTCTATATCTCTCGCGCCTAAATCCGGACGATATTACTCGCGTTCGCGAGGCCAAGAGGCCGGTCGTGCCGAAGCACGGGTCGCCTGAGGGCCTTGAGGCCGCGTCGCGCCGAACCCAGACGACGAGGTCAATCACCACGTCCTCTCTAACACTCACACACTCACTCACGCTCACACTTGCACCTGCAAGTGCTCGCAGACCCACACACCCGACGAGGCTGTTTGCTGGCACACCTATGCGCCACGCAAACACACACGTATCACAGCGGTGATGTTGTCTGCACTCGACTCACACACTCTCGCACTTACTAGTGCACGTCTTGCGGACTCACGCACCCGACGAGGCTGTCCGCTGGCACACCTCTGCACCACGCGGACACACACGTATCACAACGGTGCTGATCCACACTCACACGCAATCACACTCAACGAGTACAGCTACTCACCAAAGACTACTTCTTTCACACACAATCGCACAAGGAAAATCCTCGACGTATCCTTAGCGATAAGCTTAGAATGCGCTAAGGTCCGATTGCTCGCACAATCGGTCGACTCGACTGTCTCTCGCAGACTCGTCTCGCGACACGCATCGCGGCTTCGCGTGTGGCCGCTCGCGCTTCCCCCTCTTCGCGACCCACTCGCTCCTTCGGCCCGCAGACCCACCGAGCTCAAGCGAGAGCCTTGCTCCGAATGTGTGCTCGGCTCTGTGTTGACTCGGCGCGTCACAGCAGGCCGCTGTACGACTACAACGTCACAACAGAGATATACGTTGTTTATTTTTTAAATGCTGAAACATCGATTTGTTTTTTGAAGTAATTAGTTGGTCAAAAAAAGTTCACAAGAGCTCCGTCAAGTTAGATTTTTAATCTGGTTCAAATACTGTAAGGACATTGTACAAACACACAAATCGGTAGTTAAATTGTAAACAATATGATCATACACTATTTTGACATAGTACTTCGACACACTATTAAGGTTAATAGCAAAAACAAATTAGTTTGAATGTTGTCTTTTCTGATGAAACCCGTAATATCAAAATATACATATTCATTCATTCAATTCCCGTGAAACTAAATGTAAGGGCCCATCGTAATTAAGGGCTCAAAGGGGGCTTAAAATCGAAAAAAAAATTTATTTCATTTTTGAATAGGATTTTTTGTCCCCTTTCCATTGCCTTTTTCAAAACTTCAAAATTTTGATCATTCTGTGAGATACAGCTTTTTCCGTGAACCATTTTCGTATACTTTGCGTGTTAAATTTTTTCTTCTTTTGCGTTTTCGGGCGTTTTACGTTTTTACAAAGTGCAGTTCACTTGTCGTAACATTCAGAGCGTACCGATTAAGTTACAGCACCAGGATCGCGCACACTTCTTCAGAACATCAATAAAGCACCAAAGAATAGCACACGAAGGTCGCAGAGATTTCGCATGTGACAAATGCGACAAGAAATTTGGATACAAATCACATTTGCTTGTGCACCAAAAGACAATTCACCAGGGTCGAAGAGATTTTGCTTGTGACAAATGCGCGAAAAAATTTGGACAAAGTAGTACTTTACGATACAAGTGCCATAAGTAACACTTTTTGGCAAGAGTATCGGTACAACATTTTATAGCATTGTGCTAAGTTCACATTTATGCCCCCTTTTCCGAGTCATGAGTTTTATGGAAAATATGAAGACTTTAGATGACTCTCGAAATATTGTACATTATGGTTAGATAAGTTCCATTGTAGATCATTTTTTTTATAATATCTGTATTATAATCATGTTTTTTATCACTAATGATATGTAATGAGGCGCGATCGCGTCGATTGCAGACTGCAGCAGCGGCGCGAGCTTGTAGCGCGCCGTATACGTACTACCTATGCTCGCTCCGAGCTCTCGCACGCACACACACATACAAGCTGGAGCTGCGTTCAAATCCTGCAACACCGCACGCGCGCGATCATTGGCTGGCAAGTTAGTGATCGCAACCGAATCGCCGCGACTTTCTCGACCGTAGATCAAAATTCGTGTGCGGTGCACCAAGTGGCGGCGCACCCAACGCACCTTTTCCATACACTGTACATACACAGAACTTGCTTCTTTAGGTGCTCGCACAGCAGAGAGCTGCGAGAGCAGTCTGCAATTTTTTACAGCAACATAACCCCGTTAAATCACACATCGTCGTGCAGTGCACGGAATTTACAGTGCTCGGAACATTGTGCAGTGGCCAACTGTCAAATCGAATTTGCAGCTCGCCAAGGTCGTAGCGGGCATCGATCGTGTAAAAAGTTGTCTCGTACAGCTCAACCAGATCTCATTCTATAGTTAAAGTGTAAATATTAACACAGGAGTCTCCTGGTCTGGTGATTCACGCTCGCGTTCGTGTGCATGTGTACTCATCGTCACCGTCATCGTTCGTCGTAGTTGTCGTCGACTCGAACACACTCGAGTCGCTGCAGCCGCAGTCGAGCAGAGTACAAGCAAGTCTATATACCTATATAGTCTCGAATATATCTCTCGAGAAGAAGAGAATCGAGTCGCACTCGGCTGCAGTCGTGGAGCAAAAATGTGCATCATCGAAGCAAACGGCCAGAAAACAAAAACTGCAGTCTATTATTAACGAGAGACAGCTGGTGCGATTAATCCGAGGCGCGCGCGAGTCAGCGAGCGTTTTAATATAAAACACGAAAAAACTGGAGGCATGCAGCAGCGTGTGTATATCTTGATACAGGCGGAACTCGACTCGAGAGACAGGAGCCAGGCTGACTCCGTTCAGATAAAGACGTATAGAGTTGGAGTGTGAAATTTAAAAGGCCCGAGCAGTCTATCGTGTTACAGGCACGTAACGTAAAAGCCTATATACCGAATATACGTATGTGTGACGTGTGTGTACCACAACAGTGTTTCGTGTATACACACCGACAATTTCGTACGTATATATCTGTGTTTAGTCAACTATACATACATACCAATGCAGTGCTGTTGATGAGAAAGATTCACTCGCCGAACTGCTCCGAAGAAAAGTCCTGGGTAATATTTCGATGGCTGCTATCAACAAAGAGCTTAACCAACAAATCAGCCCAAAAGAGTGATTGCTGTCAAGTTGGCTGGAAAATTATTAATCATAATATGTGTTGTACGTGCGTTTGCGATCATGTATGATTATTAAACAAAGAACAAACACGCAAATAACCTAACTTTGTGCAGTTTTATCGCATCATTCGACCGTCTGAAAGAAATTTGACATCAAACCGATAATCCAAGGTGAAGAGATCCACAAGAACGACAGTTTTTTTACATAGACTGCGAGGCTGTACTCATCGGTCTGCCAGTTGAAACATCAAAGTGCATCTTTTTCAGTCAAAATGGCGTCCCCGAGCAGATGAAAATCTGCCTGTCTCTTCTATGCAAACAATCGTGTACGACTGACAACAACATCTTCGAGCGGTTATCTCGCTGAAAAAGCTATACGATCGACTTTTTCTGCTCCGTTCTTTAAGGTAATTCCGTGTGAGTGTGTGTGACTTTCGACAGCCCGGCAATGTCGTTGTCGCGGTCTTCGTCATTGCCTTTTAATAACATTCGAGACGCCGAGCTGCATGTCTTTTCATGCTTCCTTCTGTAGACTTCTCCTCGACGCACCATTACAGTCTCTGGCTTTTGCACACTGCACGCAAAAAAGAATGTACCCGTATCGCGTCCGTGGGTGTTCGCATACATGAGTCTGCATGTGAATATTTTTGCGTGTACGTGCGCGTATAGTCTGCATATATACATGGGGCAAATTATGTCGCGCGTCCGACTCCGTAATTCACTCGATAAACTAAAATAGCTTGAGAAAATTTTGCGGACCATTGGAAAAAATCTAATTTTTAAAACTATTCTAATGATTTGATGTCGACGGATTAGAACGTTTCACATAATTTGCCTCATATGTATCGTCCTTACCTCTTGCAAAAACTAGACGGACTGATTGTACTCCGCTTTATTCCTTCCACTTCATCTATGTAGTTCGTATGAATATACAAAAAAAATTTGCATATATAGATATAAAAATACGCAAGAAGATGGCGTTGACAGTTTCCAATACATGTGTCTCTTTTTATCTACAGTAAACATACAAATCTGCACACAAGCCTATATATATATATACATACATATATATATATATACAAGATTGTAACCTAACATGTCACGCAACCAAGTTGGCAAAGAAGCAGCAGCAGCAGGCCAGAGTACGCTGAGCATCCTTCGTGATAGGTCGGTAGTCAACAGCTGCAAAGTTTGCGGCAAAACCAACGACTTGCTTAGATGTGTCCGCTGTAGGGGAGTTCTTTACTGTTCAAAGGAGCATCAGCGTGAGGATTGGAAAAGTCACAGGATCTTTTGTAATCAAGAGCCAAGTCATAAGAGAGAATTCGCTGATCAAGAGCGGTCTTCTGCAACAAGTAGTCCTGGTCAGTACTACAACACTTACATTTTTTAAATCCAAGACTTAATTTTTCAATTTGTGGTCAGAATATTAATATTGTTTCTTATAAAATCTAGTTTTATTAACTTTTTCTAATTGATTTGTAAATTAATAAGGTGATAATTTTGATTTTCAGATAAAGTGGGAATAAAAAAAGAAAAGAAAGAAGTGAAAGATAATAAAAAAGAACCAAGTTCCAAGAAAAAAGTTTATAGTGAAAAAAGTGGTGAAAAAGTGCATGGAAAAAAAGAAGTGAATAAAAAAGTAGATACTAATTCTGGTGTCAATGATGAAAATGAAGTATCTAAAAATCTAGTCCAACGTCATACACATGCAAGAAAAGAAACAGCAAAACGACAGCCATCTTTGACTTCTGAAGGAAGTTCAGAAAACACAATATTAGAATCTAAGTCAGAAGGATTACACCCTTTACACAATTCCAACTCACAAAACGTCCAATCCACTAGCAAATTACCCATCAAACCTTCAAATCAATCTCCTAATATACCTCCGAATATACAAAACATGCCAGAACTACCAACAAGTTCTAGAGTCTATCAGCCTCATTCAAATGCAGCTCAAGCAGTAGAAAGAAATATATTTGATAAAATTCAGAATATCTGTGCCAGTGTAGTTAGAGATCTTACTACATTTGGACTATGTGTTGTGGATGACTTTTTAGGACATGAAATAGGTTCTTTAATTCTTGAAGAAGTTCTCAGGTTACAAAAGACTGGTACGTTTTCTGATGGACAGTTGGTATCTGCCAAAACTCATGGAAAAGATGTGAAAACAATTCGTGGTGATCAAATTACGTGGTTAGATGGTAAAGAAAGAACTTGCAGAAACATATCAATGTTAATATCGATAGTAGATGCTGTAATTACTAGGGCCAGTAAACTACCTAGAAATGGAAAATTAGGAAATCATAGAATCAGTGGTAGAACAAAGGTAAAATATAATTTTCACTGTAGAAATGATTATCTTTTATAAAATTATCTTTTATAAAATTTAGCATTTCTATTTCTACTAAATACTAAGCAAAACATACCCGGTTGATGAGTCAATGATTCAGTAAATGTCAAAAATGTGACCTAGTAAACATGCGGTAATCAAATGCTTTTTGAAATTTAGTTCCTCAGAAAATTTGAAAGTAAAAAAAACAATTGAATTGAAAATACTTAAAAGTTAAAAAGTCGCTTATTGAATTAATTATTTTTCTAAACGGTAAATTTTTTCGCGATCAAAAATAGACGAAAATTGTGAACAAACGTGCTATGTGACAAAATACCATTTAAAAATGTCTATAAAACACGTACGCCGTTTAAATGTTGAATACATCACATACGCCATATTCGAAAACACACGATTCGCGCATTTCGGCGGCGTACGTGGATTTGCGAATCTGCGAATGTCTGAGTAAAGCACGCCTGACACACGCCGCTGTCATCGTCAAATATAAGAGAAACAGTGAGCACATGTCGGGGAAGAGGTGTGTATAGTAACGTATCCCGGAAGAACGAAAGATAGAGATAGTCCCCTGCACTTTTTCTTCGTCGATCTCGATACAGTGTCTGCTTTTTCTCGAGCTCCAGGGGCATATATAGTGGGAAAAAAGAAGCTACCGTTGCTAATTGTGTGAATCAGTGCTGCCGGTCACGTAGACCAAGCCAGTCACGTGCGCCAAGCTCGCATCTCAATGGCGGGCAAAGACTCGGTAAACACATGTACACGGCTGCATACCTTGTCGGGCTAAAAAACATTTAACAGCTGATAATATTGTCAAGTCGCGCTCTATGCCTAGATTCCAGCCCGACGCGCAATCGACCGTATATAGATCGATAATCAAATCAAGACGATCGGAAATCGCACTGCGTGCGAAAGGAAATTCGCATCGAGCCTTTTAAACGTCAGATAAGCGTGTTTTGTTGATAATACGTATGTGCGATGAAATTTCGGTACTGCACGCACGTACGCAGTCGGCTCGGGACTCGCGCGCCGTGTTATTGACTCTCGCCGCCAACGATGACGACACTCGCCTCGCTCCAAAGAGAAACTTTTGATCAGTATCGCCGATTATATTTATTACTTTCTTCCAAAGAGTTATCATTGGCTGATTACAAACTCCAATCGTAGAGAGATCTTCGTTTGTTCAATGCAGTTGAGGTTGCGAGCTAAAATTAACATACACGTTCCAACAGATTTAGGTCACTTCAATAGTTAACACATTTTTTTAGCACATATCGCCACGGTGTCTGTCAAAAATTAATTTACAATCAAGTAATTAATTAAGGCTTAATACGAGTTATCACCTCTAGACTTGACATCGCAAAAAAAAAACATCTGAGAACTAGCGCTCATTAGGAATTGCAATTATCCATAAAAAAATAATAATAATAAATGAGATAAAAAAATCTGCTGTCTGCATTTCGTTCAACCAATTGGGTATTTTTTATTTTTTCAAATCTCGGAACGAAGCAGCGCGTAGTTACCCACCCATGACGAATGATATGGAACCGATGACATCTCTTTAGGATGTACTTTGCGTACGTGACACAAACCGTGTGTTTACATTTGAGAGGTCAATTTCTTCGTTTAATGTCAGTGTGCATTTCATCAGCTTTCGAATGTAGGTCTTCTTCGTACGCACTCGATAGAAATACGGCGTAGGTTTACGATGAGAAAATCAGCCGAGACATTTAAAATTGAACAATTTCATATATAGTTGTTGTATACTGTAGGGATGATAATTTCTTATACCGACTTAAGGCGCTTTTATTGCGGCAGTGTCTCGTAAATTATACTTGTATAGATATCAACTTAATGTATAGTTTTATATTTTACATTTGTACTCGCGATATATCAATAAACTTGATTCCGTACATTTTTACAAAAAATCTCAATATAGATCTTAGAAAATGAAATGATTTGTGTGTTTCATCCTGACCTCGCTATTCTCGTAATTTAAAAATCTTTTTACACCCAGCAAACTTCACATTTTCAGCCGGCTGAAGTTTTCTTTCGATCGTCTGAGCAAAATGAATCGATTGTAAATATTGCAGCATATTTGTGCGTTATTGAGTTCATGTCGTTACATATTATGAATCGCGTCAGAATGTGCACTCGCACAGAAACGAAATTAGTTCGAACGAAAGACAACAAACAGCCAAAATCAAAAGATCTCCCACGAGCCGCTACTTGAAACATTTTACAAACTTTACTATACTGTGTCGCACAGTTATAAGGAAAATTGTTATGTTTACAGACATGCTCTGAAAGTTATATCAGCAGCAAAGTTAATTATTGTCATCGTACAAACGTAATTTTCTTCGAGATTAAAAAGTTGAGTATTTTTTATCTTGACTCCTTTCCAGTCACGTAGACCAACTATCGGTTATACAATGTTTACTTCTCGTCTGTCTACGTCTGCGCTCTTTCCTCTCTTGTTTCTCTTTCGCCTTTAATAGAATAATTTCAAGGCGAAAAACTTTTCTTTCCGAAAGTAATTAAAAAAAGTTCGATTCTCTGTATTATTCATGCCTCGCATTCGCTTACGTGTCGAAAATCACGCGTAAAAAAACGCAAGTATTTTAGAAGGTCGTGCATGCCGATAATTGTACGTAAAGTGAAGGGCTTTCAAATGCTTAAAGAAAAGTGTACCTCTCATTGTCGTTTCGATTGTTTTCATTTGTCTGACATAAGATCAAGTATTTATTTTGAACGTGATGCCCGATGTGTATTTATGGTATTTTCGATGTAAGCTATAACTTTTTTTTTTAATTATTAATTCACACTCCGTATCTGTATATATGTACTCACGTAACTCAATGATAATAATGAGTGCAAAGACGTTGACAGCGCGTGCCTGTCATCGCGTTGGCTATATTCAATGAACATGACAATTATTTACTTTTTCTTATCAATGATTTCTAACGTCTCAGAACGTATTAAAAGTTATAAACTGCGCTTACAAAACATACTTATAACTTAGCTAGAAAAAGAAAAAAAAACAATAACAGTGTGACGCTAGATTTATGCAGGCAGAAGAATATTTATCAACAGAAAAATAGAGCATTATATAATTAGCCGTAATATTGATTAAAGTAAAAAATTTAACTATTTTATCTCTTCAAGTTCAAGCGTTTGCACTCTTGCACGGTTTTCTTTGATATTTACCGCAGTTCTGGGAAAATTTTTTACCCTAGAATATAACTTATCGATCATCCTAGAAGCGATTATAGCTTGACTACTCAAGTTTTATAGCTCATATTAATAACAACTAACAACTACATTGAGAAATAACATTTTGTGAAATCAATTATCTTTATCAATCGCTATTTCTATGAATAAAAGCGCAAGCAGAAATATTGAATTCTTTCGCATAAAAAAATTTTCTTTAATTTGAATTATTCATTTTCTGTTTCAGGCTATGGTAGCTTGCTACCCCGGCAATGGGTCACATTACGTAAAACATGTAGATAATCCAAACCAAGATGGAAGGTTGATCACTGCCATCTATTACTTAAACAAAAACTGGAATCGAGAGGTAATTATCACTCTTTTCAATCATCACTTGACATTTAAATGCCAATTTGAATTGGCACTTGAAATTCTGAACTTGATGAAAGTAATTTAAACATTTCAATTTATATCTTTACAGACGGATGGGGGTGTATTGCGAATATTCCCAGAAGGTGAATTCTGGCGGGACAACGTAGCTGATATTGAGCCGCTATTCGATAGAATACTATTTTTTTGGTCGGATCGAAGAAATCCGCACGAAGTGCAACCGGCATTCACAACTCGTTACGCCATTACTCTATGGTACTTTGACGACGAGGAAAGAACTGCCGCGATTGCCAAATATCGCTCGGAAAGTGAGTATATGCGTGCGTCGAATCGAAAACCATCGTCGATCGATGTGTGAATCTCACGGGGATTTTTCTTGCAGATTCAAAAATGCCTCCACCGAGTTCATGAAATGTGAAACACGGCTAAAGACTATATATGCGAAACGACGCTTCAAATTATATACTACTGTACATATGTTTTTACGCACAACAAAGTACTGGTTATACTTAATCGTATTACTATTTGTTAGGATGAAATTACGAATGAAAAGTGTTGCTTGATATTACAAAGTGCATCGAAAATGCAAACATTCAAGTGGCGAATAATTTTATGAATAGTTTATTAAGATAAAATTTAAATGCTATGATCAAAAATGGAACGTTAAACTGAAAAATGTGCAATAGTTTCATACGTAAAGTCTTGACAAAATTCTCTTGAACCATTGTATATTAAGAAGTAACTGTTATATTGTCTTAATTCGATAGAAACTACTTGCTTTGAATCTACTTTATTTTTATTACATTTTGTGTGTAAAAATGAATAATTTGATTTACGTTGCATTAGCGATGGTTAATATGGTACGTAAGGCAGGTCAATGGCCTCGAAATGCATCTATAACTTCTGATGAATTACTAATTCGTTAGTATTTGAAAAATTTAATCAAAGATGTTTAAAGATAAAATGAATTACCCATAAGTTTTGTAATTTATTAATATTACTGTCAGTTTATTGCTAAAATGGCTGGAATTTTTGTACAAGGCAATAACAGTTATGGGTCTGATTGTATTCTAGATGTTTTTTTTTTCTTCATCTAACGTTTTATTGTAAATATAGTATTTATTAAAATAAGTATGTATTTTATGTTTATGAATGAATACTAAAAATTGTATATTTTACTATTATCTATTTAGCTAATTTTCCACGTGAAAAAGCTTATGAAAATTCAATTTTTATATTATTGTATTTTTGTTTGTTAAATAATAAAATTATATATAAAAAAATAATTTAGAATATTTTATTTACAACTTATTATAACAACAATTATAAAATATTTTTGTTGGATAAAATAATTTTACAGTGATTTTATAACTCCCTAACAATACATTTTAATAACAATCATTAACTATCATCTTCAGGTAAATTACTTTCTTCAACTTTATTTTCTTCTCCTGGTACGTATAACGTAAATGAAAAATTCCCTTTAACAAATGGTCCAGGATTGATAACTTTACACCCTGAATATTCAGTCGTATATGCTTGAAAATCATCAGCTACTACCACAAGATCAGGTATTGGATATAATTGCAAAGCTTGATCATGTTTCCAGTAAACAGGAGAAACAGAAAACAATAGAGGTGCTAAATGTGATTGTCGAATTATGGATTTGGCAAACTGAAACATTAAATCAAAAATTAACTTTAAAATTTGAAAATTTATCACACACAAAATATAAAATCTTACCGCTTCATATACTTTTTCTCCCACTTCTTCATTTTCTTCATCTGGTTTGTTTGGATATTTGAGAGTGTTTCTACATAACTTAGATATCATGTTATCTCTGAATGCAACAATTTCTCTGGTGCAATATTGTATTCTGCATGGATTAGTCGCTAAATGTGTACCAGGTACAACTTTCATAAAATTTTCCATAATACATTTTGGTATAGATGGACGTGGCAAAATTTTTGGGGCACCTAAATCAAAAGGTCCAGGCACAAATACAAAATTTGTATGTTCTCGAATTAAAGAAAACTCTGCTACTATACTCGCTAGTTTTTTAAAGCCTTCTTCAAGTTGTTTAGGACTTTCCTTGTCTATCGGAGAGCTTAGAAAATGACCAAAAAGAACACATGCCACTGGGGGGTAATCCGAAAAACCAGAAAGAAGAGTTTTAAATTTATTTAACGCAATTTCACTATCTACCCAAAATTCAGAAATGAAAATGAGGTAATTTCCACTATTTGAATCTATGTAAGTTTTTAATTTTTCAGATAATCTCAAAGATGTTGGGTGAGGCCCACCAAATGTATTAGCTTCAGCAAAATTTAATCTGCCTAAATCTGGATCTTCAGTTGGTGGAAAGTCAATATTTTCTACTTCCAATACTCCATCTATGTAACGGCCTTTAGCTAAAACAATTGAACCTTCCATAATCAAACTTGAGCTATAAACGTATGAATCGCTAAGGAAAATTATTTTACAGTGAATAGAAATCATCAAAAAATTAATTATCAATAATATAAATCATTTGTGGCAAAAGGATATTGCATTCTTGAGATTGACCTTGACTGCTCCTCCATAATCTTCTAAATAATACATTCCCTCAGTGAGTTGAGCCAGTAAACCCATTACACAAACATTATTTGTTTTGGATTCACTTAGTAAATATTCAATTGGAACTAATTCCAATTTTTTTTCATCAACTTTTCCAAATTTAGAAGGTGCAAAAATGGCATGTTTTAAAGTTCTATACCACAATAAATCCAGCCTGTCTTTGAAAACCTGAGATTTGAATTTGGCATCAGGAAATAATTCCTGACATTTTTCCCTCATCACATATTTTTTTTTGTTTAAATCATACACAATTTTTGGAACTTTAAATGCATTGATAACGTTGAAGACAGTTTCTGTATTCTGCAAGTGACTTTCGGGTTTGACAGTTTCTTGAAGAGCAATTTTAATATGATCCAAAGTGATGTGTGGTGTGTTGAGATTTTGAGTCAGTATTTGTTCCACGATTTTCGTAAGCCATTCCTCGGCATTAGTTTTAGGATTATTTAACAAATGCTTCGAGATAATAGTACTTAATTTCCTATAAAGATAAAAAAACTGTTGTAGCATAATCTTATACTGAGAAATATTATAAAATTGTGTTTACCTCGTTATTGAAAGCCCATAAATGTTAAAAGTCCTATGGATCAATTTAATTAGTTTATCTGCATCTGACATTTTTTCGGAGTAATTTTAAATTTTTAATTGACAAGATCTTTTAATATAGTGTTTACAATTTACGGACTTTATCAAGTCGTAGAAATACTGAACGTAACTGTCTCGTGGGGGTGCAGAAATTCTCGAACTGCGGCTGGCAGCGACAGTGTTTTGGCGCCAATGCTGTCTTCATCCAACATGTAATTTGCACATCGGCAACATTCTTGTAGAAACCTGAAATGAAGGGTGCTCGCGCGTGCATGCAAATCGTGAGTTGGCAAATGGCTTACACGTTTATGCGGTTTATGACAGAGTGACATATGAAGGTGCGGCTACATAAGGCTGTAGTTGACTCTTAAATGCCCACCGTAGGAAAAAAGGATTTGACTTGGCTAAACATTTTCTAACTTGAATCTCAGTTTCTACTTACTTAGCTCAAAACATCAATAAAGCGTAGTGAAGATTGCCGCTGTGTTTAAATAAGCGACAACAAGGACAATAGCATACGCGATAACACAGACAGAGCCTCGACATCCTTGTGTTTACATTTAGCTAGCTGTTGCAAAACTTAACTTTTTACATATTATAGCGTAGCTACATAAGGGAAAATTCCTTTAAGTGGCAAAAATATACTTATTAATTAATTAATGTAATAAAAAGAAGTATAACCATTACCGTCAATTCCAGTCGAGCCTGGTAGTGATAAAATTCAATATTTTTCGTTTCAAAATAAGCAGTAAAGACTTCATGCGAGTTTCTTCGATTTGTTGAGGAAGGGGTAGGTAGTTGAAATAAATTAATTAAATTTTAAAAAACTAGTTAGATTTGTTATTAATCTAGTAATGTTTTATTCTTACGTTCTTAATCATTATAAACTCTTTCTTAAAGATTAATAATGGAATTACAAATAACTTTTTTAAAATTATTGTTTTGTGAGATCACTATCTTCTAAGCTTATTTCCATAATTCCATCGTCTAATTCATCATCGTCCAACATTTTTTGTATAGAGTGTATGGAAGATATTAGAACGTGAAATTGCTTCCGACGTTTTTCGAGTTTTTCCTCAAGATGGTTCAATTGATTTTGTAAACTTTTAAATTTGAGATCTGCTTTTTTTCTATCCGGCTGACCCATTATCACTTCAGCCAAAACATTATATTCTGTTTTATTTCTTTTCAATTGTTTTGCCTCTTGCAGCTCTTTTTTGGTTTTTTTGATGTTCAATTCCGCATCTTTAATTTCCACTTCGATTTCTTCGGTCAACTTACGATAATTATTCAATTCTTTTTTATGAGTGTTGGAAACTATTCGAGATTTTCTTTGAGCATGTTCGCATTGCGATAGTAGTTGTAGTATTTTTTCTTGCGAACTATCATCCGCGTCCGGACAATTGACCCATTTCATGAAAGATCCGATTAATACATTAATACGACGATCGTCACCAGTGCCATCCCCATCTATCAACAACCGTTGTCTTATAACTTGATCTAAATGAATTAAAAAAAAATCGATCAATTTTGATTTTCAGAGCATCGATTGCAAACAAGTAAATATATTTTGATGGTAATATTTTGAAATCGTGCAACAGCATCGTAATGTAATTCTCACCGTCTGACATTGTCACAACACAACACTGCGCACGTTGACTAGCAAGAAGAGCCAAGAGGTGTTCAACTGTAGATAGCTACACGCGGAATAAGGCAGTGCGCTGCTTCTGTTTGCTCGCGCCTTACACGTTCACTGTCGCTGCTTGCAAAATGCAAACTCTGCCATGCACACCGAGCCTCAGGCTCACATGGAACTCCGTAAGTCGCGTTTCATGAACACTTTTCCGTAAAGTCAGTTATACGCGTGAGTCCTCCGGTCCTAGCTATAGTACATAACGTTTGTTGGATATGTTGAATCAAAATTGACTACTATCACATTGCTTGCATCGTCTCCACAGGAGACTAAAACATGTCACTGTAGCTCGAGGTCCATATTAACTAGTGCTTAGAAACTTCTTTTGACGAATCTACGTTAAGCATCATTTCTTCCCACTACAAATTAAGCAGTTGAAACAAATGTTCAATCTCTGCAACGACGACGGAAACTCCACGCCAACCTATTACTCTTATAACAAGGTTTTAATTTATAACACGAACACCGGCAGGTCGCTAAACAGTCAATGAAGTCGGATATTTAAATGAGTATTTATTCAACCTGTCTGCAGACTAGAATAGTTATTTGACAAACAATCCCGTAGTTTGTTTTTTTGTCATCATGTCGTCAACATCCATGCAATTGTCTCAAAATGAGGCTGAAATGAAGGAACAACTGATAGGTTAGTTAATCAATTACTATTTTTACTAAAAATGAAAAATTTCTGTAAATCAAGAATTGCATCATTTAAAAAATTGTTTGTTAACTTGAATTTTTCAGAAGCCAATCTCTATGAAGAAAATATGAGTCTTGAGGACATGCAGAGTATTGTCCAAGTTCTACAAATATCAAAACAAGACAGCTTTAAAATTGTATGTTATTAACTATAGATTTTAATATGATTTATCTTTAAATTCCCAATCATATATTATTTATGGTCCTTTTTTAAATGTTCAACAGGTACAGAACTCACCAACACACAGTCCTGAAAAATCCACTTCTTCATATTCAGAAGAATTTGAACGAACAGCAAATAAATATGAAATTTCAGGACATATTCAACATAAACCACTTCCCAGTTTAACTGTAAAATGTAAAGTACCCTTGCAAGAACATGAGAGGGCCATTTTTTCACAAGACACAATTACTGATGATCATTCATCGATATTTGATGATATCACTGATGATAAAAACATAAATAATGGTACTAGTAATGAAAATGAGTCAAAGAAAAATGTTGAATATAACATAGAAAATAACAATGACTTTCCTGCAATTGATAAAAAATTGATTCCAAAAGATGCTGTAACTCCTAAACAAAAAACTAAAAAAACAGTAGCTGAATTAAAAAAACAAAATCTAGAGAGATGGAGACTAGATTTATTTTCATGTGAAAGAATCAATCAATTACCTGAACATTCATTTCATGATTCTGAAGATATGTGGCCTAAATTTGATCTAGATGACGATGAAGCTTTTGATAAACTTTGCAGTGAAATTGGAGAAAAATTGGATATTTTAGAAAAAAGATGCATTCCAGAAGAATATTATAGTGAATTGGCGCCTCCCATCAAGGTGAATACTACAACAACTGTACTCCCTTATTCTTAAGATCATAAGTAAAATTTAACTAAATTTCATAAAGAATTTGCTTTTATAATCATTAATTTTTGAATAGTATTGAAAAATTTGAGAAGCAAAGTAAATTACTATTTAAATTGACTTGATTGATTCATACACATATTCTGGAAAACGATTATTATTGAAAAGTATTATTATCATTCAATCTTGCATTGTATATTATTCATATTTTTAATTTGATTATTTATTTACATAATGACATTATTTAATTTTGCACACATCAAAAATTTTAACAGAGCAACTTTCTGGTGAGATTTTTGCAGTGTGATAATTTCAATGAAGTAATAAAACAAAAGCTGAAGCTGTAAATTGTTTATAAATTAAAATAAATATATATTTTTTGAAAAAAATGTAAAGTGCGTACATTTTATTCAAGTTAACTCTAATATATTTGATTAAATATTTCTGTAGATTGAAACAAGTGGATACAAGCCTCCAACTACTAGAAAAAAACCTTTTGAAAAATTACTGGATAACTTCAATCAATGTTCAGATAATTCAAAAAAAGAAGAACGAGCTACAAAGCGTAAAGCTACAAATTCCATAACAGGAGCTGTATATGATTTTGATTCAGATGAACCAACTGTTGATGATGATAGTGGGGACGAATTCATTCCAAATAATATCAAGAAAAAACGCAAAACTTTGCAAGATAAGACAAATGAACCAACAAAGAAAAGTAGAGATCGAGATAAATTGTCTACAACTAATCATCAAGCTATTGAAACGATTGATGTTGATAAAGATTTATCAGGTACAGAAGTTTATGATAATTCACATAATACGTTACGGAAGAGAAATACAAATGATCAAAAAATTGAAAATATAGATGAACCATCAGCTGAATTTCCAAGAAGAATCATTCCTCCAAATCCTAGTAAAAAAAGTTTTAAAGGACCAAGAGCTAGTAACAAAAATAAACCATCAGCTGGAAGTTCATTGAACGAAGCCCTTAGTGACACAGAAATCAAAAAAATATTACACGAAATTGATGATTGTGTTGAAGTGCCTAAAGATACTACAGCTAAGTCATTTCCTAAAAACTCAACTTTAAACAGGATGCAAGCAGGAAAAGATATTTTGATGAATAAAGTTACTGCTGAAGAAGAAAATAAAAGAGCAGAAGAAGAAGCTTTAAAAGAAAAGGCAATGAAAGCCAATGCAGAAAAAGAAGAACGTATCCGCAAACGTCAACAACAACAAGAACTTGAAGAATTAAAGATAATGGAAAAAAACCAAAGAACTGAAACAAAAGAAGAATTATACAGGACTCTTAGAAATAGCACAAACAAAAGAGTTACAAGAGCCAATTTTAATAATAAATTCCAAGAAAACAATTTTGAATCAATTGATACATTGAAAATCGTGAGTATGATAAACTTTAATATTTCTTTTATTTTTGATTAGTTACATTACATCGATTATTTTTTATTTTTGAAAACAGACTATTGACAATGAGGGCAGTCAATCTAAACTAAAGTATACCGAAAGTAGATGTCCAATATGTCAAAAGATATTTCTGAATAAAGAAATAGAAGAACATGCTGCTGGATGCAATGCATTTCAGACAGATGAAAGTGACCATGAATTATTAAAATGCAGATTTTGTTTTGAATTTCAAACTCATGATCAAAATGAATATCAGAGACATATTCCAAGCTGCAGTGAACAAGCTGGAAATCCTTCAACCAGTAGATCTTCATCAATATTGACTTGTCAGTACTGCCATGCTTTTAGTTCTGCAGAAGCAGATCAATTTGAAAAACATAGAAACGTATGCCCTGAAAGAGTGTATAAAAATCGCAAGTTCAATGATGAATCATATACTTGTATGTACTGTGATAAGTTTAGCACCAGAGATGGACATATATATGAAGAACACACTTCCAAATGTGAAAGTAGGCCTTATGAACGAGATGAGAAAAGAAATGGTAAAGTATTTTGCATTTAAATTATTGATTATTTTAATTGAAACAATTTTATTAAATTAATATGTTTCAGGAATTTATAGTTGATTGCAATGCCTACAAATAATTAACTTCAAGAATTTCGAGATCTTTTTACTTTAGAGCTTTTCATAATATGAAATTGTTTACTAAAGAATGTTTTATTGAAACTGATCTTAAAATAGAATTTCAAAAATATTTTGAATTTTAAAACTCACGTGCATCTGCCAAGAAAAGATAAGTGATTAAACATTTTAATCCCACAAATGATAATTAATTATTAGTATAGCAATTGAAATCATCTATACAAGAAAAAAGAAGTTTAAATAGTTTTGATTTATTAAAAACTAAAAAATAAATTAAGATATCCCAAAAAATCTTTTTCAATCTTTAGTTATTAGATAAATTTTCTGAAATATTGAGTTAACAGGAAAATAATGTACAGTGTAAAATACTCTAAACCAAGGAAAGTTATACTTTGACTATGAATAACAATGTTTGATACATTGTAAGTACCTACAAAAAGATATTTGATGCGCCGATCATTATAAATTAATGATTTTCAAGCCGCACGAAAAAATTTTGAACAAGATATATATTTTGTTATTTAGGCTTAAGAAAACAAAATTGTTAACTTTAAGCAACGGATTTTGTACAAATAAAGTGTTTTAAAAATTAAAATATAATTTATTGAAATTTTGACGTACTCATAATTATATTGATAAATTTTAAATGTTAAAAATATCTTTTATTTTTATCGACCGTTCAATAAAATCAAACTCGTTAGCTATATCATTTAAACGTCTTACACACTTCGCCTTTATAACTGTATCAGTTGTTTTCATTATCATCACCTATAAACGTAAATACGTCAACTACAAAGATGAAATAATAAATAATTCTCTTAATATGTGAGTATTCATAGAATTATATTGAATTTATTCATAACTTTGAATTAGTTTACATAGATAACAAGTAGAAGAAGCAATTATTTTTCAGATAAGTTTATGTAGTAGGTTATTTCGTGATATTCCGTAACAGGAACTTGAAATGATTTGGCAAAAAAAGATTTTATTGTGTGTTATTATCTGGGCGGCAAAATGTTCATCCATTTCTCTGAATGGAAAGTGGAATGGTCGGCTGGAACCAACAGGTATCTGGGATTGAAAATAGTTAATAATAAAAAATTGTTAATGTTACTATCCTTATAGGAATGCCATTCATAGCTGAAATTCCAGGAGGAATTTATACAGACTTGGAAACCAACGGCTATATTAAAAATAATCTTATGGGCTTCAATGACCTTATTAATAGAGTTGTTGCAAATGAAACGGTTGTTTATAAAACTAATTTTGAGGGTAATTTATTTGATAGATTATTGATTGAATCGTTTGACAATTAAATATTATCGTTGTGGGGTAACATTAAATTCATATTTTTTAGTCGACAGGGTTCTACTGAAAGCTAAAAAAGTGATATTAATTTTTAATGGATTGGATACTTTTGGAACAATTTATGTGAATAATGAAGTCATCGGAAAAGCCTCAAACATGTTTTTGGAATATAAATACGATATCAAAAATGTTTTAAAGGTTTATCATTTCTTTTTACTACTACGTTAATTTTTTTTTTTTTTCAATTAAAGTTATGCAACGAATAAATTGTTCATACATATATGCATTTATAATCTTAATAGAGTGGAAACAACGAATTGAAAGTTATCCTTGAATCGTCGGTATTGACGGCAAAAAAGCTTTTCGATGCCCAAAGTCTCGATTACGTAGTGTATCCCAAGTGCGTTCCAGAAGTATACAACGGAGAATGTCACGTAAACCATATTCGAAAAATGCAAGCCAGCTTTGGTTGGGACTGGGGTCCAGCTTTTCCGTCAATGGGTATATGGTACATTACTTTATTCAGCCTTCACAAGACGTGAAATGAAAAATCATAAGACTTTAATACATATATTATTTTCAGGAAAAGCGTTGATCTTGAACCTGTTGAATTAGCTTTAATTTCAAGGGTCACAGCTGACGTATCGAAAATCAATGATTCATGGAAAATAGACGTTTTAATATTCCTTGAATCATTTGAAAGTACCGAACTTGTTGACAAGTCTATAAATGTAGAATGTGCAATAAAAGAGTTGAATTTAAATTACCGATCTGATGTAAAAGTAACTACAAGTGATAATATTACATCTGCAAGTTACTCGATAAACGTGCCTTTGGTAAATGTAAAAACTTACTACAATTTTTAAAAAAAAGTTCTCACGTAAATATTTTTCAGAATGAAATTGAATTGTGGTGGCCCAATGGTTATGGCAAGCAAAAGTTATACACACTCAGCTTAAAGATTGATATTGAAAACGTAATAACCGAAAAAGAACTAAAGCTTGGTTTCAGGACAGTCGAACTGGTTCAAGAACCCTTAAAAAAAGGACTGAGTTTTTATTTCAAAGTAAATGGTATTCCGATATTTGCAAAAGGCTCAAATTGGATTCCGTCGAGCATTTTCCCGGAAAAATTAGAGGACAAAAAAACGTTGACCGATCTTCTGAAAGCATCTAAGGATACTCATATGAACATGATGAGAGTGTGGGGTGGCGGCGTTTACGAATCAGATTTATTCTATGATTTAGCCGATGAGTATGGGATCATGATTTGGCAGGACTTTATGTTCGCCTGTAACATGTATCCGAGTACCGAGGAATTTCTTGAAAACGTGAAAAATGAGGTGGTACAGAATATGTTGAGACTGAAGCACCACCCGAGCATAGTTATTTGGGCCGGTAACAACGAAAACGAGGCTGCGCTTTACGGAAATTGGTACGGAACCGCTGGTCAACGAGTCTATAGTGAAGATTACGTGAAATTGTACGTTGACACCATTAAAAAATGGGCTGTCAAAATTGATCGTACTAGACCGTTCGTTGTATCCAGTCCGAGTAATGGATTGTACAGTGAGCAAATGAACTATACCAACTCTAATCCTTACTCTAATCTATACGGAGATGGTAAAGTTTAATCACAATTTTTTTTGACGCTTTCTTTTATACGCTTAAATTGAATGTAATAATCATTTCAGTTCATTATTACAACTATTTAAAAAATAGTTGGGATATAAATCAGTATCCTATAACAAGATTCGCATCTGAGTATGGTTTCCAAGCTCTTCCCTCTATATGGACACTCATGTCAGCCATTGAAAAGTCAACCGATTTGGAGCTCGGCAGTGAATTTATGAAACATCGGCAGCATTTGCCCGCAGGAAATTCGATTTTCAAAATACTTATCTCTAAAAACTTTTTAATTCCAAATACTAATGATTCTCTGCTGGATTTGATAAATTTCATTTACCTCACTCAAGTAAATCAAGCCGTTTCTATGAGGATCGAAACAGAAAGTTATAGGCAAATGAAGAGTCATTTCAATGATTTGGATGAAGGGATGACGATGGGTGCTTTATACTGGCAACTGAACGATGTTTGGCAAGCTCCCTCATGGTCGTCCATAGGTATTAGGGTTTAAAAATAATTGAAAAAACTGTCATTAACATATATATTTTTTTTTTGTTAGATTTTCTTGGTCGCTGGAAGATGTTGCATTACTATGTCAAGGATTTTTTTGCCCCAGTCATAATTACAACTAGATTGGACAAAGCCGATACATTATCCATTTATATAGTATCCGATTTATTGACTCCCTTGTCGAATATAACGATCGAAATATTAATTTATGATTGGAGGGTCGCAAAATTAATTCAGACGAAAAAAATAACAGGAATTAATATGGTAAAGGTCTGAAAATGAAAAATTTTCACTAAAAATTTATACGAAACATTTTTTTAAAGGCACCAAACGAATCGAAACTGGTTACTCAGTATTGGATTGTAACTTTTCTACAAGCAGCTGGCTGTGGGTCCGAGGACGAAGCCAAATTGAATTGCATGATAGAATTGCTCTTAAAAGATGCTGATGACTCTTTGATAGCTCCAGCAAATTATGTTTATCCTGCTCCATTAAAAGATATTTCACTGCCGCAAGATTCAGTAGAGGTTCGGATAAAAAGTATTTTTTAATATGCTACATTGTTTTCACCATTCAAAATTAATCTTTTTTATAATTGCACTAGGTCAGGGTTTTACCTGAAAATGTTTTTAACAAAGCACAAAAAGAATTTGAAATCGAAGTTACTTCGCAAAAGTTAGCTTTATTTGTTTGGCTGGAATTAAAAAGTGTCAATGGAAGATTTTCTGAAAATGGGTTTCATATATTAATGGGGAAAAAACAAATAACTTTTTATGCAGCTGAACCAACCTTCGCCAAAAATATTTCGGACGATCTCATGGTCACAACACTATCCCGAATTTACAATCCGTCACTCCGAAGTTTCGATTTACAAATTATTGTCGATGAAATTATCAAATTGAACAACATTTGACGAATTAACCTGTTTTCATTGTGGAAAATACATATCGTAATGCATATAAACTTCAAGGAATACCAATATCATCAGAACTATTAACAATGAGTAGAGGATTGTGTAAGTTATTTCAGAGAACATTTTTAAGATCAGTTACAGATGAATTTTATTTTAAAAATTTACAATTATTCTTTACATTATTTATATTTTTAAAAGAGGATTATATGCCACAAAACAATAAATATGTATGCAAATGAAAATTCGTAAGACAAATGAAAATCAGTACAAAAGTAATTAATTTATAGTATTTTAATACATTAAAATTTTTCAATTCATTGGCATTAAGTTCATGATTAATATAAATCGAAACTTTTAAAATACAAAAGTATTTTAAATATTTTAAAATTTATTATTAGTTGATTAACAAAATAACAAATTCATTTCAATCAATGGTATGTTAAGTTCATGATAAATGTAAATCGCCACTATTAAAATACAATGAGTATAAATAAAAGATTTATGAACACTTGATTACTAGTTGATTAGCAAAATAACAAATTCATAGTAATAAAAATATAAACATTATTAAAATATAAAAATTAATGTATAAATAAAAAATTGATACAATCAAGTGTTAATCACAGCTATACGATAAAGCGTAGTTTTTCGAGTATAAATCAATATTAAAAATATTTTATGTCTAAATTACTAGAAGTATTTTTGTATTTTATCGAAATATCTGTTTTGAAGCTACAAACTTGTATTCATTGTGCACTGTACATATAAGTATATTATGCATACACCTGTGTATGTCAAAACTATATGTATAGATATTATTTACTTTCTGTTTTAAAAAACAGATATTTTGTGAAATTTAAAATTTATTTTCTACAGATATTGATTATTTATAAAGAAAGTAGAATACAAAAACACTTTTATATAGATCTAGAAAACGATCAAACATTAAGCAATAAACGCTCAATATGATTGATTTGAAAATTTCATTAGCTAAAACTTCAAATTTTAAAATTGGAGCGATTTAAAAAGTAGAAAAATAGAATGTTAATCTTTAAAAGGCACACGAAATTCTGTCTCAAAAATATCATTTTGATTCTAATCGATCAATTTGAGATTTTATGGAATTAATAGCTTCTTCTGATGGCGATTGAAGATATCTTCTACTCAAATTAATTGCTACCATAATGCAGCAAAGTAATAGTGGACCAAATATTGCGCCTTCAATCCCCAAACAAAATACACCGCCCGCTATAGATAAACCAGTGAGATATGGATGTCCTCCCCTGAAAAATGTAAAAAATTATTCAGTTTTAGTCCTTTGTAATAACTTAATTTTAGATGTTTTAAGTAAGCATACCCCTTGATTTCTTTGTAAAATTCCGTAACGACTACGTTACACGCGATAAAATGAACTAAAAAGAAAATTATGGCTACAAAAGCGCCTTGCGTGAACCACAATTCAATCGTTGCCGGAATACAGGCGAAATAGGCATCAAGAAATGGTACGGCGCCAAGTAAAGTAGCGAGTACCGATGGTACATAGACAATTCTGACTTGGAACAAATTGTGCATTAGCCACGTCCACATACCAAAAAATGAAGCAAGCTTGAATGTTGCTGTGAAGACACCAATTACTGACTCTTGTAAAGCTATCGCAAACCTAGAGAAAATCACAAAATGATTATAATAACCAAGGACGTTTTGTTATAAGATCCATTTCCTCAAACTTAATATCTCACAAAAATTATGCGTCTACAATTACTGTGCTAACAATGCTACAAATATTTACAAAACTTAAGCCATAATACAGTGCTTGTAAATAGATTACGAAAAAAATGTTTCAACTACAAAATTCCCTCCAAAATAAACATATCTTATAGACATACCCTTTCTCATCATGACTGTTTTAAACATTACAAAAAAGCAAAGTATATTAATTTTAAGATGTGATATGCAGTTCCTCTTTAAAAACAAAATCAATTATACAAATATATTTACCTGTGGCATCCAATAGGACTGAATAGAGATACAACTTCGATTGGTTTATATGCTTTTACACTGGAACTCAACAAGTAGAATAAAGCAGTGAAAAAAACAACCTAAGGAAAAATTTAATGTTTAAATATTAATTTTGAAATCCAAAATATTTCTTCATACAGATGAATCATTTACCATGCTTAGAGCAAAATTAAGAACAGCAGATCCACTTATCAAAACTATGTACAATAACTCTGTAACAATGCTAACAACTACTGACATATTTCCTTTTACTATACTCCAAATGGAATCCAAAACAGACATTAAGATTCCAATATTTTCTTTGGCAAAATTTTGAATGCTCGTCATGTTGAATAGATCTGCATAAAACAAAAAAACTATTTTACTAAGTTCTTATATTCATAATGTTTGATTTGTTTATCATAATAATGTGTAAGAGTAATGAGTAATCACAAAAATCATGGAGTAAATTATATAATTATTTCAAAAATATAAAAACAGCTACGCACGTAATGGTGTTTTTCCAAATCCATCTTTAATACTTTCCCAAGCTGAATAAGCAACATGAGCATTTACAGTAGGTCCTATCATATCTTCATCATTTGTTGACATCATCCAAGCTTGGTAGAGACGGTCCCAAAGTTCTAAAAATTTCTTTTCTACGTGTTCAGCTTTGTTAGGCTCTAAATCCTTAACTAATTTGTGAATCTACAAAAAATATTGAATTTAGAACAACGAAAAAATTTTTTAATATTAAAAGATTCATTACTTACTCCATCCGAGATTGCCCCTCGACCATACATGTAAGCATTATCCAACACACTGTTAACAGAATCCTCCCATTGTTCTGGTACCCAATCTATATCAGGATGATTCATTAGTGTAGAATTTAAAATATCACCAGTGATTTGGATCAAATGCATTCCTTCTGAATATATCTTTAAAAAAGAAAAGCTACATCAGATGATAAATTTTTAAAATTTGATGTAATTAATAACAATTACGTACTTGAATGGTAATAAAAATTGATGTACATATAACAAATATTAAGAGTGCCAAAATTACAGCAATTGTAACAACTGCATCAACGGAACTTTTCAGAATTTGTGCTATTTTTTTATCGACGATAATACTGACTTTATAAAGACCTCTTACATTGACTGGTACCAACGCTTGATGCCTATCTTGGCACCATGTATTGACAAAATTTGTAATTTTAGAACACTGCTGAGTAATTATATCTTTAATTCCAAAATAACAGTACAATTTTTTTAAATAATAGTATCCAATTGGAATAATTAATAAAACAACTATCCATTTATTCTTCCATAAAATCATTCCTAAGCAAGCATACATGGTTCCATACATGTATTTATCAGAATCTACATCTCGATCTTCAATATCTAAAGTCATTCTTAACTCGGAGCGTAATTTGCTAAGAAAGTAACGATCTGACACAGTTATTCTTCCAGACATATTCCCAGCAGATCTTACTCTCCTAGCTGGATGATCTTGCAAGTTTTTGCCCAGTCCTGCATTAACAGACATTGATCTCCCAGTAACTTTCAAGAAAGGTTTTGGAGCAAAAGCTTGAATCCTAGTTATCTCACTTCCTTTAGCATCAATACTTTCATTTTCTAAAGAAGAAGACTCATCTTCCACTAGTGTTGGCATACCCATCGATGCAGTTCCAGAATCTTCAGAGTCAAGAAATGTAGATTTCACAATACTCATTAAAGAAGTTCTCCTTTCTTCTGATTCATGGCGATCAAGAGCTAAAATCACTTCATATATGAAACCTACCAAATATAATATTTGGAAAACACTGAATATAAGTAAAGGATAAGTCCCCAAGGCATTTGACAGATAAAGACTGATCATGAACCAAATTCCATAAGAACAAAATCGAAATTTGTATTTGTGCTCTGGTTTCCAGCATAGGTATAAAAGTGAAACATATCCCAATAACACGAGGCTTATCTAAAACAAAGTTATCAATGACATTAAAAAATCTCAAATAAAATATTTTTGTGAGTTTAAAATATTTACCGAATAAATATTACACGCTGATATGAAAAAGCTTAAAATTGTATGGCAAATTTCAAATGTTTTCCAACAGAGCCAACAAAGCAAAGGAGGCGTGTAATTATAAGCCATCAATGTTCCAGCCATCGCTAGTCCAGCACTTAAAATATACTTCAAATAAGTTTGTGAAAATGAGCCAATTGTATCAGAAAGTTGATCGAACGCATTCAAAGGAATTGCAGCCACACTGAAGAACAGAGGATGATTGGATGCTTCTGCTGTTGTAAACCATTGCTGTGACATATTTGTTAAATAATACTTGAAGGGAAATAAAACAGATCCACAGAGCAGAGCCCATATCAATGGTTTCAAGAAAGGAGTTAGCACAAGAAATAGTCCATATCCTGCTAAAGAAACGATGCCAAGTAAAAATATTGCCACGGCATTATAAATACCCTGCTTTAATGCTTTTTCGTGTCCAGCACTCAAACTTGACAGGATATTCATCAAGTTATCCATCGGCGTTCTCGGTGTTTCCATCATCTTGACCACTGACAAATGCTCCGACGATCTTTATAAAAAATAACTAGCTTATATTTAGCGAATGCTCAATATTCTCCGCGCTTCATATAATACGTCATGACAGTTTGTCACGGCTATTTTTATAAAACAAGAAGATAGCGAATTTCGTTTGTATTATTCGGACGTAAACATGTAGCGATCGTGTGTTTGAATTTTTTGTGCACGTTGTTTAGTCAAAATAAAATCACAACTGTAGGATGAAAAAATGAATTTTGACAATTCATCGAAAGAGATTTGAAAGGACTTTTTCGGTCAATTTGTGGGCAATTTACTCACGAGATACGGCAAGAGGTAGATAAACGTGTCGCTTAATTGGCACATGATATCGGTTTCTGTGCGTACCACTGTCGAGTCACACGAGCAAATCGATCGCATTCTTATTCTCGTTTATTTATCTACAAATCGGAGCAAGTCTGTAGAGCTCATCTCAACGCCGCAGCAGAGAAATCAAAAGTCCGAGACGATGTGACATTTTGTGCTTCTGCTAGTAAGCGTAGTTTGTATATGTAGCGTGTGCAGCTGCAGTCGACACACTCGACGGTACTCTCGACGTCGCTGCTACTGTCAGTACCGAGTACCCTATAGACAGAGCGAAAATACGCATGAATCGGCCGCTGCACGGCTGCACACGAGCATACAAAAAACTGCATAGCCAATGAGCGGAGCAAAGTCTCAGGCCGCAACGGCCAATCGCTGCGCTCGTTTACGTGATCGAACAAGGCCACGGCTGCCAAGTGCGAATCAGCGGCCTGCGCGTTTTAGCTAGCTAGAGAACCGACTGTTGTTGTGTGTTGTGCACTTATACTTGCGAGCAGCCGCAGCGCTCGGGAGCGTGATTTTTCAGACTCGCCAATGCGAGGTGCCGTCATCGCACTGGCACATATTAACACGCACACACTCGTGCGACGTTCCACATATATAGTCGAGTGCACGTGTGTATGTATAGGTATACTGTTACACGGGGGGATCAGTATGTATTGCGCGAAGCGTACATAAGTATTCGGAGGAAGGAAAGTACAAGTGCTGTGCGCTAAAGAAGATCCGCTTTTGGCTGCCAGCTGCATAAAGCCAATACAAAGCGGAGCACCTATACATGGTGCGCTGATCGTGAAATTGGACGTAGTGTCGATTAGGAAGATAAGACGGACACGAAACGACTGTCATCGTCGTCCAGTCGCGATTCGCGTTTAGCCATAACACATTGTACATGTCCGTCGTCAGCTGTCCGCGTATATATATATATAGGTAAAAGCTGTATAAGAAAATAATCGAGGACAGCCATATACGCGGACGGAAAAATCGAGTCCGAGTAATCCGCGCGCGCTGCATCGTGTCGTCTTGTTCATTTTATCCGTGCGCGCGATCGCATACATTATAGGTAGTCAATTATAGCTGCGTATACGAGCGCTCCGTACCCTACACTATACGTCAATGTTATCGTTCTCGCTCGGCGACGATCCGAAATTTCATGAAACATCGTCGTTGTGACGACGGTTCGCGAGTCAAAATTTCTTCGAGGAACGAGCGGCCACGGTTGACGCTGCTGCGAATACCTGCTCTGCGCGCATCAACGTTTTATTCACGATTAGCAAAACCGTCAGGTGAGTTTCTGTCACTTGTTGTTGTGGTGTATAAAGACATACACAAATACACGCACACAGGCGTACACGCACATACGTATATTGTGTCTCGGTGGCCCATGTCAATGTTGTCTGCTTTTTCTGCTCGGTCTGCTTCCCCCAGATCCCGATGACCAAGTAAATTTCAGAGCTTGCGTATGACGAGTATACAAATTTATCGAGACTTCCATGTTTTTGCTTTTATTTTGCCTCTTACTCTGTCGGCCGCTCGCTCGCTCGTTTGCCCGTGTCTTACTGCACTTATCGTTTGCCATCGTGCAGCTATTGTTTTCTTCCTAGCCAAACGGTGGGGAAAAGTAACGTAATCTACTACGACGAATTATTTCGTCACATTTGTTGCATTTTTCGCGAGCGAATCGACGACAGAGCCAAGATTTTAACTCTCCCGTGCACACGACGAGCGCAAAATTTCATTACTTTTCCATTATGCGACAGGTATTAAGCACGACGAGGATGACGTTGATCGAGGGAGTAGGGGACGAAGTTCTCGATTTTTTCATTGTCGTCGGAGTTCTGCTCATCGGCTGGTTCGCCTGGTGCTCCACTAACATTTCTGATCAGCCGATCATACGAACAGTTCTTATACTGCAAGCTCGTACCCGCACACGCTTTCACGCTTTGAGGGCGAATCAGCAGCAAGCAAGAACTGAAGCCACTGTTCAACATCAAAATACGAGTAATACCGAAAACGAAACGACACAAGTCCATTCTGCTAATGATGCTGATGCAAGTAACATGGACAACTCCTCCCGTGGTGAGTATTCAAGGCTATCATTTTCCTTCTGAACTACTCACATAACTGTTGTTATAAAATATTATTATATTTTCTATTTTTTTAAATTTCAGATGTTACATCAGAATCTCCTCAAACTGAACAAGCTGCCAATGAACAAGACATTATACGAGCTATGGACTCTTATACTAATGATAGAAATCATGAAAATTTAGATAAAAAAGAAGAAAAACCAGTGGACGAGAAAGAAAAGGAAAGCTCTCCTCCCAAAGAAACTGTAGAACCTACGAAAGAAGAAGAAATTGATAATAGTCAAGATAAAATATCTATAAAATTAAAATTTATCAATGATGATCAAAAATTGGTCACTGCTGATCTTAAGGAACTACTTGGTGATTTCAAAAAGTGGGTGATAAATCGTAATAAATTCATTGAGTGATAGATTCATTGCTAATAAATTTTGTATCTCTTTCAGGAGACACTTTCAAGTTGAACTTGATTCTAGAAAATTAGTTCGTCTAGTCTTTAATGGCCATGTCCTCCAGCCAGATAGTATTACTTTGCAACAGTGTGGATTTTTTAATAACTGTGTAGTACATTGTTTGATTCACACACCTCGTCCACCAACAACAGACTCAATACCTAACACAGCCAATAATAATGCAAGCAACAATTTATACTTCAACCCTTCAACGATTTTTCACGATATACCAGCAAATGGAGACCTAGAATCAGTGCAAATTGAGTGGGACCTTAGCAGAGTGTTAGTCACTTGTATATTTTTAATATTGAGTGCTGCGTGGTTCTTCAGATATCATTATGCTCAATTGTTCACCATCAGCTCAACAGTTGGATTGTTTGGACTTACTGTAATTTTTACAGCGTCGTTATTCCGAAATTTATATGCTGATCAAGAAACTTTACAGCATATTAATTAGAAAATTGAGACTTTCTTGCTGGTTGCAAGTGTTTGCGTCTTAAGTTGAATCCAAGTACCTCACTTGAAAGTTCATTCAGAAAAAAATGACTGTTAGATAAACGTATTTGTTGTAAATATATTCTTTATACCAGAAAAACCAGTCAAATTTTACCAATGACTTTTTTAAAAAGTGAGTTACATTAATAGAATTCGTACTGTCCCGTCTGGATTAGATGATTGTTTCTAGATTTCAATTTTTGAAAAATAATGATTGCCTACAGAAACAAAGTAAAAAATAAATATGTATAAAATGTATAAGAAAAAGTCTTAAGGTGTAAAAATTTTTTTCAAAGGCATTTATTTAAATTTTTAGATAAAAACAAAATGCCACACTTATGTACATTTGAGAATAAATAAAGTGTTTTATATAGTATTGTTTTTCCAATTTGCGAGGAACAATTTGCATCATCAATGTTTTACAACACACATTTTTACATCAATTTTCTGAAATCTGATGAAAAAACGTGAATTTGCAATTAAAGATTTATTATTTTATTTAAAAATAAATAAGGCAAAAATTAAATTAATCTATACTTATTTTTTCCCAATATGCAGACCTTTTCAAATTAAACACATATCCTTTTATATTCCCATATGACTGTCAATCTCTTATGATAATGCAGTTTCAATGAGATGCCTATATGCAGTATACACAAGTAAGCGCAAAACCAAGTCAGAGTGCCGGGAATGTTTTGTTATTGCGATTGACTACCGAGTAAGACCGGTGTTCTATTTATCAAAATTTAAAAATTTTGAAAAGTGTAAAAATTGTTACTTTTAATTTTGGTGTTGATTAAAAAAACTACCTATGATACAACATCGCGTCGCATTGGTGGAAATTTCATTTAAAGAGATATTTAATATAACCTTAAAGATTTATTCTTAATCATTTAAAATGTCAAATCAAAGTGTTAATACAGATTGTGAACGAATGAGCAATATGTTTGAAAATAAAAATTTAGATCTTGATGGTTACAGAAAGTTGGTCAAAGGGTACATTGATTTGGTGAGTGATGTTTCAAATTTGATTTTTGAATTTTTGAATTCATTATTTTATCTTGATATACTTCTCAATTTTTCCAGCATTTATACAGTGCAGCCTTATTTTGGGCAGACAAAGTTCTTTCATTAAGTAATGAAAATTTAAAAGATGTTTGTGTTTTGGCCCAATGCATGTATTTAACTAAACAGTATCATCGAGCTGCTCATTTGATTCGGAGTCGTGGTCTTGAAAAGGTAAATAACACACATTTTCTTTTTGATATTGGACGAATGCTTACTAATATATTGTTTTATTTCTTTTTAAGAAAAATGTTATGTGTCACTACCTAGTTGTTCGTTGCTTACTTGAAGCTAAAGAATTAACAGAGGCAATTCAAGTGATAAATGAATTTGAAACTATAACAAATATAACAAATATCAACCACACTGAAACAAGTTTTGATGAACATTCAATTGTATTAGATGATGCTCCAAAAAATGTAAGTTGCATGGACTTAATTTATAATTTGCAAATATCTAAAAAATGATTTTTTTGTTTATGTATATTAGGTACAAAGTGCTATATTATTTATAAAAGGAAAAGTTTATGAAGCTATGGATAATAGAGCAGTAGCTACTGATTGTTATAAACAATCTCTTCATTGTGATGTCTATTCATATCAAGCTTTTGAAGCTCTTGTGCAGAACCAAATGCTCTCTGCTGCAGAAGGTAAGTTTTCTTCAATTTATAGTAAAGTCTTTGTAGATATTAACAATATTTAATTTTTTTATTCTCAGAAAGAGAATTATTGGACTCTTTGCCATTTAATGAACAATGCAAAGAAGCTGATGCTGAGCTATTGAAGCTTCTTTATGAAAGCAAACTTAAAAAGTATCAAGCACCAGCTGAATATAATTTATTGGTTTCTTGTGGAGCTTTAGCTAAGGATCGCTTGAGGCATAATTTAGATATGCAAGTTGCTGAAGCAGAAAGATTATATTACAATTGTGATTATCACCAATGTTTTACATTGACAGAAAGGTAATATTTTCTTAAAGCATGTTGAAAAAATTGATGCTAACTTTGATTTTTTTTTAGTATCTTAAAAAGTGATCCATACCATAGTAGCTGTTTACCTGTACATATAGCTTGTTTAGTAGAATTAAGAAAAACTAATGGTTTGTAAAAATTACAATTATTTTTAACGAAGCTAAGAATTATAATTTAATTTATAGTTTTATATTTTTTAGCATTATTTTATCTGGCACATAAATTGGTTGACTTGTATCCTGATTTAGCTTTGTCATGGTTTGCAGTAGGTTGTTATTACTACAGTATTGGTAAGTCAACAATTTTTAATAATTATGTACTTTTTTGAAAAATTTATAAATATTTATTGATGCTAGGCAAAAGTGATCCAGCAAGAAGATATTTGGCCAAAGCCACTTCTCTTGATCGACTGTTTGGACCTGCTTGGCTTGCATATGGGCATTCATTTGCTGTTGAAAATGAACATGATCAAGCTATGGCAGCTTATTTTAAAGCTTCTCAGTTGATGAAGGGATGCCATCTACCATTATTATACATAGGTCTTGAGTGTGGCTTGACAAATAATTTGAAGCTGGCAGACAAATTTTTCCAGCAAGCCCAAAGTATTGCCCCTGATGATCCTTTTGTCATTCATGAAACTGGTGTAATTGCCTTTTATAATCTAGAGTGAGTTTTATACTTTATGATTGTACTTAATTTCTAAGGTAGTTAATTACATTAAGAGTATAATTGTAAAAAGTTACATTTTGCTTATAGTTTTAAAACTGCAGAGAAACATTTTAAAAGCGCTATGAAAAAAATTCAATCAGGATTAAAAGACGTGATGATACCAAATAAATGGGAATCTCTACTCAATAACTTGGGCCATACTTGTAGAAAGTTAAAAAAATATGAAGAAGCTTTGGACTATCATCAACAAGTAAGTTATTTCTTTTTTTTTTTAAATTTAAACTTGATAATATAATAAAATGATACTGAAATTTTCTAATGAACTTTTCACAGGCCTTAATTTTAAATCCATTGAATCCAGCTACGTATTCAGCAATCGGCTTTATTCATGCAATGATGGGTCATACTCAAGAAGCAGTAGATGCTTGTCACAGAGCTCTAGGACTTAGAAGAGATGATACTTTTACTACAACATTATTAGGATTTGTCATGGAACAACTAATTCATGAAAGTCCTCCTTTCTCAGGTATGTGCTTTTACATTTCAAATAATGAAAATCTAATATAAATATGATAAAGCAATGATACTTTCAGATGCTCCCTCTGAAGTACCAAAATACGAATATTTGAGGAAAAGCGATAAATCTCTTACTAAACCGGCAGCACCTTCGGAGCAGCAAATAGAAAAATTACGAGTCAACTTATTTTCAGGCTGGGGTGAAAATTCTTCAAAACTTGAAGGTGACTTTTCTCAAGTAGCAGAAATCAGTTCAGAAGTAGAAATGCTTGATTCATCAAATATGAAGCAAGAGTAATGTGCATAGATGAATAATAAAAATTTATTTTGTTTATCTTTTATATTATGTGTTTAATATTGATAATTACACATCGTTTTCTAAAAAGCTCCTTGAATAATAATACGATCTCGTGAATACTGAATTACTAATATTAAGTCAACAAACTCGATATTAGAACAAAATAATGAAAAATTCTATTTACAACTTATAATCTACGTAAATAATGAATACGATCTGATAACTATCGATTCATTGGGTTTAATTGAATTGTACGACGCAATAAAAGCGCAAAAGAACGTAAACAAAGTGTCCCACTTGTCTACTCCTGCCTCAACATACATTCCTTTACATTTCCGGGAAAAATCATATATTATTTGAAATGCCCACATGGACTGGGCAGATCGAGCCTCGCCGCGGTCCAAAAAGAAATTCCGATCACCGCTAGTCCGCTCTCAGTTATAGCCGGTAGTGCGCGGCGCGAATCTTGTTTTTGCGCGTCGCTCTCGTTCACCCTTCGCGAGCGCTGGCGTCGCGGCGGCAGAGCAGCCGTGCAAAACGGCAAAGCACCATAACGTCGTCAATCGGCACGGGACCGTCAGTGGTCTCGCATTAGCAAAACACACGCTCAACGTTTTATATAGAAAAAAGTATATAACGCAATTGACGGGTAATATAATTCGTGAATAATCTTTCGCTTCGTCTGTCACGAAGGTCGTAATTAAATTACAACTGAATTATTCGCGGCGTACGAGGGTAAAATCGATCCGAGGGAATAACCGGGTATCGTCGGATCGAAATACTTTGCTGATCCAATCGCAGGGGCACGTGGTCAAGCGGCAAGCCAACAGGAGGATCTAATCGTCCATCGTCCATCGTCCTGCCCCCAAAAAGACGATGACTTCACTTTTGCACCAGGTATGACGTTTTCCTAATCGTTACCCTTAATTGGTTAATTCTCCGTGTGTGTGCGGTCCGTTGAGAAAAAATGGTCGTTTTTCATTTATTTCGCCTGCAAAAACGAAGGGTAATAAACATTGTTTTTGGGATCGTTGTCGGTGCCACGTACATCGCGAAATTCAGCCTCTGAAAGTCGTTGTCATCGGAAAATGGTGCATGATTCGCGAGTGTGATTTTCATCGTCAGCCGTTGATGAACTCTAGTGTCAGTGAAGATTATGTAGCCTCGCGCCATGGTCTTTTTTTTTAAATAAAATCTTAGTAGTCGATGCCTTAATAATCGAAAGTTTTTTGTTTGCTCGACGGTTGCATTTGTCGTGTACCGTCTTTGAAAGTGAGTCTATACACCTTCAAACACCTATACAAACCGAGTTCGATATGCGCGTTTGATTTTGATCGACTTTCGTGTTAATCGACGGGACGGTACGCGTCGCTGACCTTGGAACGAAATTAAAAACCCAGAGACTCGTATGTAACGGATTATTTAAACAACTCGAATCTGGTCAGGTTATGCGAATTGACGGCAGCGAGAGTAAAGGGCCAATCGTATAGATAGCTGATTAGCTGTCGACGCCGCGGTGCGTATTCCCCCGAGTTCGAAATGATCTGCATTCTGGGCTTGGGCATTCTCGTTCTCGCGCATTCCTCGCGTTGAGGCACGTTTTCTGCTCGCACGAGATACGGACGGCGAGGGGGAGGAAAAAATTCGATTTATCAAGTCGAAAACACTTTTTTCCTCTGCATTATATGAGGTATATATAACGATAGGTGAACTTCCGACGCGAATTTCGCACGGATACGCAGACAAGGTTTTGATGCTGGGGCATTCTTGGAATGCCTCGTACGCCCGTTGACACGATGTTGGTAAATAAGACTCTGCGCGAAAGATCATCGAGTTGTCTCTCTTTACACGGGGGACGACGCTGATGATTCGTGTACATGCGTGAGGATGGTAGTTAATGCTTCTTCTTGTATGTAAATACGCAATTGTCGCGCATGTGTGTGCCCGATGATGATATCAAGTTTTTCACTTTTCACTTCCGAGAAATTTGGAGGAAATTTTCCCGTCTCGCACAGTGGCTATTGTACTTTTATTGATTTACTTGGAAATCAAATGTACCCGTTATTATTTTGATACTCGTCCTCGTGTGCGATTTGCCTTGCTACGTCTCCAAACAAGTACAATTCTCATGGTAAGATCATCTTTCTAGCGACGCTACGGTGATGCTGACTCGTTCGTAAAGTACACCTCTATCGCTCGATTCGTACAAGTGTGTAATCGATAAGCGTAGTAACCCTTTTTCGAGACTTTTTATCGATCGTTGCTCTACGTTAAAACCGTGCAGATTCATCAAAAGCATGTACGTCGCATTTCTGAAGCTCTTTCTTAATTTTTTCCTTTTAGACTTGAATTTCTTTGCACTTACTGATTAAAATATAATTATTTTCGCTCAAAATTTCAAAAGTATACGATTATGAATCACATCTACGTAATTTTTCACAATAAACATAAGATTTGAGCGCCGCGTGTGCACTTTTACACGGAGATCGCACAGCTCAGCGAAAAAAAGTTTGTTATTGTGATTATGCTTGCTGCAGTGTAATACCACACCTCTCTGGTGGAAATATTTTTATTCCGCCCATGAACTTGGTTCCTCTTACGTTTATAGCTTGAAAGTAACACTACTTTCTTGTGCGTTCGAGCGCAAGGTGAATAAAAACGTACGTCGCTTCCGAAATCTGCAGCTCTCTTATTCTATGTTTTTTTTCTCATCGCAGCTAGCCTACCAGTACGAGGCTGAAAAACAGCAGCATCAGCAGCAACAACAACAGCTGCAAAGCGAAGTCGGGCTGGACGCGCCGGGAAGTCCCGCGTCCCCTCAAGCTTATCGTCAGTCACAACAGTTGACGAGTCACCGCGACGAAATGCAGCAACAGCAACAGCAGCAGCAACAAGCCGATCGCGATTACGTCAGTCAACAGCGCGAGAACAAGATGCAACTTCAGTCGCACGAGCGCGAGCAACATCTGCGCGAGCTTTCGTCCTTGAACAACCTGCTGTTGGACTTGCCGACTGTGCCGTCATCGCCGACTTACAACGCGGCGCCCGGCTCCAAGTTCTCGATCGGCCACGAGCTCGTATCGCCGACATCGAGCGCTTCTCCTTCCAAGAGCGTCTCGAGTGGAAATTTGGATGGTAAGTCGAACGATTACTGTTTTACGCTAGTTCGTGTACGCAAACTTTCGAGCTTGACGTTATTTACGTTTTATTCGGCATGCCAATCAACGATGCACGAGCGATACCTGTTCGTCGCGTACACCGGCTTGTCTCGCCGCGCGTCTGAGCGCGTGTCTGAGAAAACCCGTCAATACAATGTTGGCTTACAAACACTTAGCAATTTTCACTGTCGTTGTTTTACTTCGCTACGGTTATCCCAATATTTACTTTATATTTATTTTCACCATCACAAGTAAACACCAATTTATTTATTTTTCCTTCTAGGAAATTCGTTCTTTTTTCTGTACAATTTTATACACTTAATAATTTTCATGAACCCACAAAGATTTTTTCGCTGATGACTTTATGATACTTTTAATTTTAAAATAGAAAATTCATTCATAAATTGGAAACTATTAAAATTTCACAATAATTTTTAATTTATTTTTTGTTTAGCAACAGATATGTCAATATCTGATCTATTTGGATTAGGATCTGCGCGCGGATCATTGATGAGTAACAATCAAAAGGATCATGGAGCGCAAACTGGTTTCGATACATCTACATATAAGCAACATAATATGTATTATTCCCAGGTATTAATGGCAATCTTAGTTCATGGTACTGGTTCAATTTTCTCGTTCAACCTCGGTAATAGTAAAATAACAAAATTGATCGTATTGTTTCAAACTCGTTTTGACGCGTGATTTATTAATTTCATTTATTTTCTTGGCAAAACTTGAATATTATGCTAGTCGAACGATGCGCTTATGCTGTAAAAGTGTCAAAATGAAAGTGTTCTACGTTTTATATCATTTTTTCGCATTCGCGTCTACTTCGTGAGCTTTAATGGGTTTCATGAAAAAGCCTAAACAATAACTGCCCGTCTTCTCTGGAGATATTCCAAGACATATTTTTGACATTATCTTATTACTACGTTTTTACTATAAATTGCTTTGTTTTAAATATTTCTAACGTATATTGAAATTTCACTTTTTTATATCTTATTTTTTATAGACGAGCTTTTTAATTTTTTACGAAAAAAGCAGCTCAAATGGCCGATTAAAGGCTATTCAAGAAACGCACAAAACTTTTTGGCTCAGACTGAGGCAATAAAAGATGGAATAGGATGGGAGAGATGGCGCGTTTAAATTTCTTATATACGGTCGAAAGCTCGCGTCATGATTAATTGCACTACGCGCAAAAAATTAAGTTTCAAGTGTAAATCTTTTGCATTGCATACACATTCATACATGACCTCGATTGAGGGTTCAAAAAAAATCGTATTTTTCACCCTTAGGTAGGTAATTGTCCTTATTTCAAGTGAGTGGCCGAATATTTTTATAACTCTGGCCGTTTAAAATATTTTCAACGCGCAAATATTGGTCTAGGATCCGATTAAACATACCAATAGCAAACGTGTATTTTTTTCGACAAGACGCATAAACAAGTATCTTGATGGTGACAACCCTTTCATCTCTCGCGTTGTCATGTTCTAGCCGATATTTTTGCCGCGAGCCTTTCTAGATATTAACGTTGGAGCTGCTCCAAAAATGAAAGTAATGACTGCCGCGAACGAGCTAATCTGAAACAATGCAACAATTTTCCACTAGCTTCATTTTTGCTTTATATACTTTACCTTTATTATTATTATTGTGATTCTTACGACTTGTCGCTGAATTTTTGTCAAAAAAACTTTTTTCTCAGCAGTTGGACCGCTCCGATAATTCCAATGGATATTACTCAAACACAACTGCGGCCGAGGTATGTTTCTTACATGGTTAATTTGTTTTACAAATTCAAGAATAATCTGAAAACATGATTCATTTTGCAAGAAACCGTATGAGTATTCAAATGGATACTACTCGAACCTGAACCAGTCGAATAGCAATAACTACATAGATACGCCGAGCTCGCCGGTATCTGTACACACACCAGCTACACCTAGTACACCTGGCAGCATGTACTCAAATCCGTACTCGTACTCGAGTATGACCAGCAGTAGCAGTCCTTACAATTCGGCCTCATCGGTATCTAGTGGTTACAATAAGCGATTCCCATCCTCGCCACTGCGTTCACCACCGTGCTATGCACGAGCGATTCGAGGGTCACCACCTTATAGGTAAACGAATGTCCGCAGAACAATTAAAACAATAGCTCACATATTATTAAAATATAATGTTTTAGCAGCGATTGCAGTAGTCCATCGACAGAGTATCCTAATCATTCATTTGGCTGCAATAATTCGAGGTCGAACTCACCAGCTGATTCTGATACTAGTGCCAGTAGTATTGACGGTCCTTTAGCAGATATAATCGTAAGAATATACTAATGTCTTTTTATCTTAAATTAATATTGCGAAAATATATTGATAATATTTATTGGTTTGAATAGCGCCGTTGTTATCCTCAAAACCCTTGGGCTGAGGTAAAAAAATACCTTCATAGTGGACGAGCTACCCTCGCTGATTTACCGTTCATCAAAAAATGTTTTATGGAATACTGTCAGACGCAGCAGCAATCACCACAACAGCAACAACAGACAACACAGCAATCTACCCCTTCACGATCATCTCAACATACCCCGATGCACAACCATTACCATCATCATCAGAACAACAATACCCCATCACGCAGTTACTTCAATCAAGAGTCTAATAATAATTCCTTTAACGGCTCTCATTTTGGAAACTCCGAAAAAAACTGTTGCAATATGTCGGTTCCAAGAAGCAATCCGTCACTCATTTCTTTAGATAAAGCTGCTAGAATTCATCGTAAAGCGGCAGGTGAATACCATTATTTGATTGATTTTTGTATTATTTTTAATTACAATAATTCTCAATTCAGCTGCATCCGATGCAAATCACACATGGTGTGGAGAATTACCTCAAAGAACTCGCAAGCCCATTGGCTATTCATCGAAAGTTTTTTTGGGTGGCGTTCCTTGGGATACGACCGAGTCAATCTTGGTTTCTACTTTCAAACAATTTGGACCGATTAAAATTGAGTGGCCAGGGAAAAATCAATCTTCTATTCAGCCTAAAGGATATGTTTACATTGTATTTGAATCAGAAAAACAGGTGCACTTTTTTATTATTATACGCTGCATTCATATTATTTTTATCACGAAAAAAATGTATTGTAATAAACTGTTCTTTTAGGTGAAATCCCTTCTAGCCTGCTGTACACATGATTTTTCTAACGGTGGCCGATATTATTATAAAATATCGTCAAAGAGAATGAAAGGAAAAGATGTAAGAATAAATGATACCATTGAAAATGTACGTAGAATTATAATTAAATATTTCAATAATAACGAGTTGATCTCCTCAGGTTCAAGTTATCCCTTGGGCTCTTAATGATAGTAATTTCGTCAAATCCTCATCTCAGAAATTGGACCCTGATAAGACTGTATTTGTTGGAGCCTTACACGGAATGATGACAGCTACAGGCTTGTCAAAAATCATGAACGATCTATTTGACAATGTCATTTACGTTGGTAAGAAATGTCAACCAAAATTTATCCTACAACACCAAAAACAGAAGTAAATGAAATGATTGTTTATAGGTATTGATACTGATAAACATAAGTATCCCATTGGATCGTGCCGAGTAACATTTAGTAGCAAGCACTCGTTCAACAAAGCTGTAAATGCTGCCTTTATTGAAGTCAAAACTGCGGAATTCCGAAAAACAATTCAAGTCGATCCATATATTGAAGATGCACCTTGTTCAAGTTGTTACGTTCAGCAAGGACCATATTTCTGCAGAGACCGGGTAAAATTGATATTTAACACCTGTAAATTTGATAACATTGATCTCTAAATACTAATTTAATATTTTATTTATTTAAGATGTGCTTCAAGTATTACTGCCATACTTGCTGGCAATGGGTACACAGCAGCGAATCAATGAGTTCGCACGAGCCAATGTCACGCGGCTTGAAGAAAAATCATGTTATTGGTTTGACTCCGAATTCGGGATTGAATCGACGTTGGGATATGTTATAAATGGGTTTCTCTCTGCTGACATTGACCGACCAATGTTTTAACTATCGGTCAACATAGTCATCACTTATTTGACCCTAGTCGACGGAGGAGCAGAAGCTGGGTGTTTATTTTGTTTAACTATGAAGAGTAAAACGGAAAGCGTCAGCTTAATACGTAAATTTTATAACTTGCAAAAATAAATGCAAGAACCATTGGCTTTATTGCGCGTGAAGACATTCATGCGTTTGTTCAACAAGTTTGTTGAACAAAAACAAATTTTCAATATGTTACTAATCGTGATTACTTTAAGTTCCTATTATGAACCGAGTACGATTTTTTTTTTATTTGTTGGTATATACCTTTATCAAGAGCACTGGCTTGGGAAAAGTATATTATTTTAATTAACATTTAAAATGAGATGATATAATTATTGTTATGATTTTCGGTCGTCTTAGGTGCGAATCGAAGGGCCCCTATAGTGACGAATGGACCCAGTCAGTCATTGATTCAATTTGATTTATAATTGATTATTATATAGTGATGATGTTTACCAGTAAGAGAGCATTCATTTTCTGGTAGATTATATTCGGTTGTTTAAATTTGATTATGATGTAGAAATTGTAATTTTTTTGGTACTTGATGCTTGTAAAGCATTTTTGATAATAATTACGAGTTGTAAAATACATATTTTATGCACACGGGTGTCAACAATTACTTCAGCCACTCGAAGTGGCTCTCTTATTGTGGTTCAATGACTTTACAATGGAGTGAAATTCGGGCTATGATTCTAGTAATAGAATTCTGATTCTTTATTTTTTTTTAAATTTTTTGTTAAGATTTACAATCCTTCGCAATTCTCGTGTTGCGTCTATTTGTTTCAAAAATTGATTTTCATCTCGCTGTCTATTATGTTTCGTTTTTTTTATATACGATTCTGTTAAATTGGATTAAACAATTTAGATCTTTGCACAAATCTTTTCTTTATTCTTCTTACTTTCAAAATCCTGTCTATTCTTATTTTTCCTTTCTTCCTTCTATATACCATAATCTATTTTATAGAAACGAAGATTATATTATCTTTCGAAAACACTAATCGGTTATATGCATAACATTAGACAGTTTTATCTATGCCTTGTCTAATCATTATCTAAAAATTATTGTACTAGAAAATTTTTAACGCTACGTCTAGCGATCTGAAATAATGAATTAAAACTAAAACTAAAAATTGGTCTAATAGTGAGTAGGGATTTTTGAAGTATTCAAAAACAAAATTACAAATTAATGACCAAGTCATTATTAATGTATCCTTAAACTTATACACAGTTATAGCAAGGTAGTGTAAAGTAAAAAAACTGGCAATGCCTTTGCGGACAATTTTTAATGATTATCTTTTATCCAAAAAAATTTAATTTATTCACTTTTAATCAGTCGTGCCTTTTAATGTGACCTCCATAAAATTTTATTGCGGCATTATACATACAAATTATTTTTAAGTCCAAAGAAAAATGAGCAATTAACTTTAATGTATTCATACTCAATCAAAGTGATTTCTACTAACTAAGACTGTTGAGAATTCAGCAAATGTTGAGCTTTTCAGAATCTTATAGTCTCATTGAGACATTATTTTAAGTTACATGAAAGTGCCTATCAGGTTTTTTAGTTTTTTTATTCCATGTAAAAATGTTTTTAAGCAGCTTAATAATTAAGAATAATAATTTATAATTATTAATGAAAAGTTGCCATGATCTTTGCTTCAACTTTGTCAATGTTGAACTTGTAGAAGAAATAAATAATAAAATAGTAACACTTTGTTTTGATTTCAACAAAATTTTTCCCATTAATTTTATTAAAAATATTCATGTGTTCTATATCATTTAGAATGCAATAACAAATATAACCTTATAATAATACTTAAATAATTATCTCTCACTACAACTGTCACCCAGCGCCCGATGGTCATACTGCGAATCAGTATTAAAAAATTGTATTCATTCAACTGTATCTTTGAGCCATTTTTCTTGTGAGTGCTTGATAAACACCAATTAATGATGAAATAGTTCCTAGTGCACCAACTTGGAAAGCTGAAAACTTGCCGCCCCACAATGTCCCTTTGGGCAAATAACTTATTGCATAACTCAAATCTAACATTAATCTAAAACAAGTTACTAGTTCATTGGTTTGTTGACTTCTAAGAATTGACTTATTATATCTGAAATAAAAATGTTTTTATCTTGTTGCATTACTAATTTTTTTTTTTAATGTCAAATAAATATTTAATGATGTATAGTACTGACCTTGGATTAATTTCTTTTTTACAGAAATTCATTTCTTGTTTCTTTAACAGTTTATATTTTCTTAATGTCCTGAAAATTTTAATATCTCTCATTAAAAATATGCTTTTCAATTGAAGAAATAGATTTATACCATTAAAACTTACTTTAAGAGCGATAAATATAAAGAACCTATCCAAAACCAAGTTGTAGCGTTACCCCATTTCTCAATGTCTATGGAAATCAGATTATTTTCTCCAGCCCAACAAATGTGTTCCACTGGACTGTATAATAAATCTACAGTAATTTTGATCAGTTCAATTGTTCTGATTAACCAATCTGGTTCCTATAATAATTCATAAAATATTAATGAGAAGTTATATATTCATTCTAATAAAAAGTTAACAAACCTTTTGTCCAGTGCCATAGGTCATTACAGAATGAATATTAGGAATATCATCAAGAAGTCTTAAGATGACTCTTGCACCACTCATTTTACTTCCAAACTTCTTGAATTTATCTGAAGTATCATTTGATGTGGGGAATCCGGATGCCATTTTAGCTGCATAAGAAAGGGTTCGCAAAAACTTGTCACGTCCCTCATAGCTGTCTAAATAGTCAGATACTAGAGCGATATTCATTTTGATTTTTTTTGGCAAATACTTGTGTACTCAAAAGAGTACTTTTGAATAAAATAGAAGCACTATCACTGCAGTGCATATGTTTACTGAGATTTATTGACTAGTACTTTGTAACTCCAAAGTCATTAAGATAACACGAAAGATGAGAGTAATTGATAAATAAAGATATGCATAGATTAAGTATATAAATATAAATACTTTTAAATGCAATGAACTGAGAAAAATAACATCAACAGAGATACATAGAACAGATATATGTAAATAAAAAATTTGTATGAATAACAAGTGTGTGTGTGTGTATGGCAAGATAATACGCACAAAAACAACAACTCTACATGACTAATTATAAATGAAATAATAAACTGATGTGCTGATGAATAATATAACCTAATGCACTGAATCGAGCACACATACAAAAATCTGCGCTGTGCAGTGGTATCGGCACTGCTATCATAGCACACAACCCGTATACGAAAATTGACCTGTCAGACGGGTTGTTGGCGCAGTACTGACGTGTTCACGTGTGCGGCTGCATACACTATAGATAGCTATGTCGCAATTCGCAGGCCTCGACTACACTTATTTACTTTGACTCTTGTGCGTGTGTGTGCGTTTGTTGTGTGTTATAAAGGAGCTTGTCTCGCCGCCGTGTAAAGCAAGGCGCAAATATATAATTCGTAACGCAATGAGCTTGCAGTTTTTCATTTACGAGTTGCATTTTTTTCTTTTAAATAAAGCGTTAGCGAACAACATGATACTGCGACATTTACAATTACAATCATTTAAAATGAAATTTGATTCATTAGTAGAAGGATCGTTTTGTAAATAAATGTGAAGTGAACGCGCATGAATTGTTCATGTAGTCATCATAAAGCAAGATCAAATAAGATCAAATAATAAACACTTGTATGTAAAAACATCAATATATGTAAAAAAAATAGAGTAAGTAAATAAAAAAATAAAAAAAGTCCAAAATTAAAGTTCAATTGAAAAAATAAGTTTACTTTTTCAATTCAAGGATTTACTTACTTTTTCATTTGAACTTTAATTTTGGATTTTTAACTCCCGATGTGAATAATTATGTTCAGTTATTGGGGAGGACAGTAATTGTGAATTCGGCGAGTTTTCAACTTTTAAATATGGTGAATATTTATATTTGAAAGTCATTCAAATGAAAATAAAAATATATTTTTCACAAAAATTTAAAAAAAGCATGAAAAATAGTCTTGAACAAATTTTAAAAAATCTAAAAAAATTTTAGTTCAAACAAGTCAATAATTTCATGGATAAACAAACATTCAAAATCAAGAAAAGTTAAAATTTCAGAAAGAAAATTCAACCAAGGAAAAGGACTCGGAAGTTTCACTCCTGGTGCTCAGATTATCTAAAATTCATTCAACTATATAAAAACACCAGAAGTGAAATTTCAGAACCCTTTTCCTTGGTCGAATTTTCTCTCTAAAATTTGAACTTTTCTAGATTACAAATGTTTCAGTATCGTCATATAGTTATTTATGCAACAAGTGCCCAAGACGTGCCATAAGACGTTTTTAGCCACGAGTGTCGGCGAGCCATGTTTACATTTCGGAATGATAAATATTCGGAATTATGAATATTCCGAATTTCACACATTCCGAATATTCATAATTCCGAATAGTTATCATTCCGAAATCCGAAATGTAAACCTGGCCCCGAAAAAATATCTTTCTCTCTTGCTCTACGCAAGCGCGTACGAGTGGAAGTCCAGTGAGCTAGGGTTTCACTTTAAAGTCGCCTACGTGTTTGTTACTCTCTTCATAGATCATAGATCAAAGTACACGTCTACAGTCAGTACAAATTACAATGTCACAGTGTGAGCAGCAAAGTCTCATGTACTTTAGCGATTGATTTTTAAATGAAATAATCAGTGTTTGTGTGTCGTGTATCGGTGTTCGAAATATATAATGTCTTCGTCAAATAGCATGTCCGGCGAAAGGTCCCAGAGTGGAGGTGACGCAGCCGACAAACTCGTAGAGCATTCAAAGCTAGAAAAATTGAAGAGGTTACGAAAAAAATTCTTTTTGAAGTTTATAAGCCATCGAAAGGCATTTCTCTATGAATTTGGACCCTTAATAAAAGATTGGAAGGAACAACTTCCAAATCTAAATGAAATTTTTACAAAGCGAGAGGTGGATTTACTTCTCATATCAAGCATCGAGTCATCTTGGATTCTAAACATCGTCGAGTTCGTTGTTCGCAGCGGCTACAAAGACGAACCCGACTTGGACGTAGACGGTAAGCCACTGCTGCATCGTACCACAGCAATAAACCAGATAGATAAGCTCAGCTGGTACTACGACTCTACGATCATGAAAAGTGAAGTGTTGAAAGATTTATTCAAAATTTACGACAAATTCCACGCAAATTATACCGACGATTCAGGCTACACACATTTCTACATTGCCTGCAAGTACGACTTCGAGGACGTGGCGGAGAAATTTCTCGAGCTCGGGCAGGATCCCAATTGCCTCGTACCGGAAACAGGTGATTCGATGCTGTGCTGGGCTGCAGTCGAAAACTCGGGGTATACAAAGATTATGCGATTGCTGCTGAAGCATGGCGCCGATCCGTGTTTGGCCGACGAGCACGGACGGACTCTTTTGCATGTCATATGTCAAAATCGCATAATTATCTCGATCTCGATGTTACTCGAAAATGTCAACGAACTCCAGCGGACGGAGCTGATCGACGCCCAAGATAAATGGGGTGACACTGCGTTGCTTTTGGCACTGAATGGCGGCCACGGTGTACATGAGACTACTGTCCGAGAGCTGCTGAGAAATGGTGCCGATCCGAGCTTGGCCGATGCGAAAGGACAGACTCCTCTGCACTTCATTTGTCAGAAATGCAATGATAGTCCCTCCGCGTTGACGATGCTATTCGAGAACGCCGACGAGCTCCAGCAGAAGGTGCCGATCGATGCCCAAGATGAATGGGGCGACACGCCGTTGCTTTTGGCTCTGAAGCCGAGGACTGACCGATGTCCTTATAGACGGCCTGCACGATACATTGATACACAGATTATCCGAGAGCTGCTGATAAGAGGGGCCAATCCGAGTTTGGCCAATGCGAAAGGACAGACTGCTCTTCACATCATTTGTCAGAGATACGAGAACGGGGGCTTGTTACGGCTATTCTTCGAGATTTGCGACGAGATCGAGAAGACGGCGCGGATCGATGCCCGGGACAACGAGGGCAACGCACCGTTGCACTTGGCTATTCCGCACTGGAACCCGGAGATGGTCGAGCTGCTGCTGAGACGAGGCGCCGATCCGTGCTTGGCCAATGCGGAAGGACAGACTCCTCTGCATCTCGTTGCCAGGAGAGACTTCAACGGCGACATGATTAGGATGTTTTTAAGTATAAACGAAGAAAGGCGGCGCCCGGTGGGGATCGACGCCCGGGACGGTTCGGGCCGAACAGCGCTCGAATGGGCCGTGACGCGTTGTTTGCCGCTGGTCGTCAAGAGTCTTCTGGATGGTGGCGCCGACGTGTCCGACTTCGTTTTTCCGACCGCGAGAGATTCGGATAGGTACGGCTACATCAATCGTAGAAGATTATGTAATGCTTATCATGACGATGTTGTGGCCAATAATGATCTTGACAAGAGTTGTCGTGTAACTAAACTGGCTGCGGTGACTGGCCTGCTGGCCATCGTCGAACTGCTCGAGACAAGAGGCTACGCACTGAACCAAGACGACGCCCTGAAGGTCATGGGATTTTTCGCCAAGTACGGATTGTACGAAAGTACTTCGACGAGTAAGGAGGTCGATGATTTGGTCGATTCACTATTCGAAGAGATGGCGAAAAAACCGACGTATATGGACGACTACAACTTCACGACCTCGTACGAATTGCATAGTATTCCCTGCGACTTTATGAAGGCTTGTTGTTTGTGCCTGTGCGAGAAAGTATCGAGAAAATTTTTCCGCGACTGGGCCCTGGATCCTTTCATGGAATTGACAGGTTCCCGACTGCCGATCGAGCGCTGCGAAATTATCATTGACAAGCTGAAGAATGAGGATTTGTTTAACGTTTGTCTGGTGGTTGCGGGTCGAAGCTCGTGACGATCGCAATAATTATGTGTACAATCATTTTTTTTTATGTTCGGTGTTGCTTCATTAAATAAATGAATATATTTAAAAAAATGAGGTTTAATTTTTTCACAAGATCATAATTCTCTTCTCATCGACTATTCTATTTGGCTATCATCTCATCAATAATGCATTGGAATCGATATTTATATGTACAGTAGACAAGATCATTTAAAAAATATTTTCAATGACAAGATCACGCAAGCTCAAAACAACCAGGAGCAAAGCACGAACAAGAGTAATATTATCCATCCGAACGTGTCACAGACGACTTTGGTAAATTATTAGTAAAAAATAAAAGTAAAAAAAGAAAAAGTAGAAAATTTTTAATCTTAATTTTGTCTCCATTCTTACAACCTCGTCGTTCGCACCGAATTCGAATTTTTCGCGCGCGATCTGCGCAAGTACGCACTTGAACTTTTTGCAAGTTGCAATATGACGTATTCCACGCTCGGCCAGACAGTGGGCTCGCGCGGGGCATTTTTTAATGTATCGCAACTTTTCTAACTCGCCGTGGCCGGCGCAATTGGGCCTGAAAAAATATTGCGCACATGCATTCCGATTGATTTTTGTCTGTTCTTTCTTCTGTAGTATAAGTTTTTCCAAAAAAGTTAATTTTCATGGAGAAAATTGACTTTAAAGTTAACTGAATTTTTCGGCAAGTATACCACTTGCGATTTTGTTCGAAGTTATCTCAATCGAAAGGTAATTTAATAACGAAGGTTTTAAAATAAATTACAAGTTGACGACTCAAACGTTTCAAAAGTTATGAACAATTAAGTACCGAAAAACGTGATTTTTCGGACGAATTCTGCCCTCCGCTCAGCCGGTAGGAGAGGGGGTAACATGAGTCGAATGGAGCAATACACGCGACATTGAGTGCTTCAAAACGATCGGTAATCGACTGTCATTGCAATTGCGAAAGGTCATCAACCCAGGTTTATCGGCCAGGTAAAAAAGGCCGCGTTGTCGATGATCGACGAATCGCGCGGCGGTGCCCGAGAGCTCGCGTCCTCTACACGCGAAACGCTCAATCATGGCGATTCTCGCGTGTACAAGCGATCCGCGAGTTGCTGCAACTTGCAGTGCAGAATGTCGTTATCTACGCTCGATTCGCGTGCACTACCTTATACACGATTGGGCGTAGGAGAGTCGAGTCTCGAGCGGCGGCGGCGACAGCAGCTCTCCTATACTCGTACGCGCGTCCGTTCGTCGAAGCCACGAGGCAATAGCAGCAGCAGCGAATTACCGCAGGAATAGAGCAGGATCGTCGAGCGAGCCGCTCGCAAAGGTTTATATGCGAAATCGGCCTCGCGAGTCGAGTACCGAGATCCGCCACCGAGGCAGCCGAGGCCGGCTGTGGCACGGCAATTTTGGCGCTGGAGTCGCGGGCGCAGGCGGCATAAGCACTAGCAGGCCTGCGTATCGGCCGCTGGATGACGTCAGTAGTCAGGAACGCGCATTGCAAGGCACACCGCGCGCACAGCCCCGACTCCGCCGCGACTTCCATCTCTTTCGCTCTCGCACGAATCGTCGAACGGCGCGACAGAGACGGAAGTATATAATAGCAGCAGAGGCATCATCGTCTACGTCGACCGAGTAGGCCGTGTGCGTATATAGTTGTACCTATACATCGCTGCATCCGCGATATTTCAGTGTAGCCACGGCAGTAGCGCTGTGAAAGTGCAGAATTATCATCGTCGGTCGACAGCCGAAAACGTCTCTCTCTCTTTCCCTCCTTCGCTCGTAGGCAGGCAGCAGCAGCAGTATATGCAGTGCTGATACACAAGTTCGGAGCAGTGTGGCGTACAGAGGCGAGAAAAAGACGCTTTCGCGTTACATCGGAGCAGCCGCACCCCGTCTGTGTAATACTACGGAGTCGTTGTTGCCTCGTCGTTGCCTCCTCATCGTCGTTCGCGCCTTCGGAGCTGCAATTTAAATCGAAACAAAAGTTCGTCTACGAGTGTGTGTGCTGATTAGTGCGTGCATGTGCATCTGTCTCTCTGTGTATGTGTGTGTGTGCAAATTAAAAAAACGTGTTTGGTGGATTGCGCGCGCGTGTAAAGTGCTCTACGTGTAAGTTGTAAGTCTTACTGTGTTGGTGTGCTACAGTCCTGTCTCAGTGTGTGTGCGTGCGTGTCCGTGTGTGTCTATCGTACATACCGTGGCTGGCTGCGAGCGTGAAACTGACTCCGTCTCGCTCGCTCTCGACTCTCTCGGAGTCAGTAGTCGGGCCCGATATATACACTCCGATCACCGATGAGGAGCGAGTGTGTTGGCCTCATCGTGCCTCCTATTACCGTTCTGCTCCAGTACACGGCGACGCATAGCAATAATTAGCTCGACCCGAGAGCATCCACAAGCTACTACGCTCGCTGCATGACCGAAAGCCCATATACGAGTCCACGCGAGCCATGGCCAAGTGTTGTCGAGAATGACACATCGGTCGCTCCTACAGGCGCAATGCTGCCGCCCATAATCCAAAGGTACTATAGTCGGCTTCTTTTTCCTTTTCAGCTCGTATGTCTATATGTACTTGCACACATGCCATGTACACATACCATGAAGTTTCTCTCTCTCTCTTTCTGCCTTTCTCGCTCGCTGGTTCATTCGCTCTATCGATACATGCATACATTCACGTATACAGCACTCGAGTAGTGAATGCAGCGTGAGACTTGAGACGCGCCTCGTATACGAGTATTCACACACCTTATACGAACTGTCTAATCGCATTTATAACCCCTAAAGAAGGGCACAAGCGGTAATGAGGTATCGCGGGGCCTATGCGCGGCTCTTACACTTACCTATGAACTCCGACTTGGTCAAGTGCTTTTCATTTGAAAATCACGAGTGCCATCCGATAACTGTGAACAACTTTGCAGCATTTATTTTTTGCCACTCTTCCGTGCTATTCTCCAAACTCTTTCATACATTCTTTTCGATGCTCCGACAAAAAATTCGTTCTACTACGTGCGTGGAAAATAAAAATACCTAACAAAAATCAGCTGTCTTCCCTGTCAGTGCGCAACTGCTTCAGGTGGTCGTGAAATAGCAAAATCATGGAATTTCAAGGATAGTTATGAAAAAGGAAATTACTCAATTTTAAGACTCTCGATCCAAAAAAAACTTTCACTTTTGGTCGCGTAATCTTTTTAATAATGCAGCTCGATGATTTAAATTATGCATAAATCGAGCGATGATCTTGAAACTGTCAAAAAATACGGAAAGCGAATAATTTTTTTTTTATTTTTAATCATTTTACGCTTTTGACGAGAAGTTTAATTTGTAACCACTGCCGATACAGCTCATTTTTGTTTTACGTCATAATTCATATCATTTTTTAAATTGTTTTCCAATGACCATTCATTTTTTCACACACATATTTATACTCGAACTATGCATTTTTGAAAAAAAAAATCTTAAATAGAAATCACAAAGTACAACACTTATTACACGAACGTACAACTAAAATTAAGATTTTCACCATTCAAAAATAAGTGAACGTGCAAAAATTCTCAACATTAACGATAAATTACAATTTTCCCAGATGTTCATAATCAGCGCTGCGTCAAACTAATACGCTACCAACGATCAACTTGCTCAGAGCTGCTGCAAGAGCAAGAGGAACAAAAACAGCCAAAATTCCGTGCACCACTGTAGACAACAGCTCGTTTTTTACGAGTCACATTTAAAGAAGAATAAAAAGTGTAAAAATGTTTCGCTGCATACCGATATTCAAGGGCTGCAACAGGCAGGTCGAGTACGTGGATAAAAGACATTGCTCTCTATCGACTGTGCCCGATGATATACTGAGGTATTCCAGAAGTTTGGAGGAACTTCTGCTTGACGGCAATCATATCCGAGATCTGCCCAAGGTGAGTCCTTTGTGGTTTACTTTACTCAAAAGAATGTTCTTTTCATTCATAGTTCGCGCACTATCGTTTTTTTACATTCTTGAATTGCATTACAAAACGTGTATTCAAGTTATTAATGTTGATGCTTGATGTGTAGAAAAGGGTAAAAATTTGAATTTTACACACCTGGCTCTATCATTTAAATAGCTCAGTGAGAGTTGAAACAGACACTTTTAAACCATTTGAAAGAAAGTTTATTTCATTTGATTCGATCATTAATTTTTAAAATCTTCATCGAGGATCTCGATTGTGTGCAGCTGAAACTTGTTCAATACACTATAGAGATGCAGAAAATAAATTCATGAATCATAGATTTTATGAGTCATTTTAGTATGTTGTCAAGTTTTTCTTCTAGTCTGATGAGTTTTTTTATGAATAAAATTCTTGGTAGTTTTGACAAAACGTGATTGTGTTGGCTTCAAAAATAAATTATATAATGAACAATATACTTTGGCTTATTTGATATAACAAGAGTTGAAAAATGTGTCATTTTAATTTATCTCTTATTTGAATGAGTAAATTCTTGTCATTCTAGACATTTTTATTTGCTTACTCTCTTACTCGATTATTGGAATATCGGCTCTAATCTTTATTAAAAAATCTTCTGATAAGAATTACCATTGAGTCATTTTGATAAATAAGCATTCTTTTAACTACAATAGAATACATACACATGAAATAGAAGTAAATAAAGCAATATTTTTTCATTGATCTAAAGATGACATACTTATTCTCTTTTATTTAATAATTCTAGTTAACAATATGATTCTAATTGTTGGTTAAAAAAAACTATAACGAATTCAAAGACCTCTACTATTCTAATGGAAAAATCTTAGTAGTAAAGCAACATTGAGAATCCATAGAAATGCTCTCCTTCTCAGCTACTTATTATCTGACATTCCTCAACTCTGAAAAACGCTCAACTTTATTTTCTACTACCAATTCACTTTACGCGTGCCCATCTTCAAGAAATAAAAGCAGCAGGAAACATATTTTCCAAAATGAAATGATAATAATGAAGGTAGAATATGAATAAGTATGAGGCAGTCTTGTGTAGAGCATATTCTTGTGCCGAACACACGGCGCGGCGCGTCGACGGCTCGTGGGTTTTACGCGTTCGTGTGAGTTTGTAATACGTGTGTATGTGCTTTACGAGTGATTCCCCATACACACTTGAACGTACTCGTAATGAAAGTAAAGAACGAGGAGAAGAAAAAGAGGAAGAAAAAGAAGAAGAAAAAGGAGAAGAGAAAAAATGAAGCGAAGGCACGACGATGCTAGAGCAAGGACGTATATTCGCCAAGAGAAAGGGAAAAAGTCGCGAGGCTCAAAGAAAGAGGGGGACAAGAGTGACGACACGACTTGTTCATCTGTTGCTATATATAATACATATATACATGCACATTTACAGCACACCTTTGATACACCTAGTGGAGCTGTCAAACTTGTTCGCCTAACTTCTCGTTCGTTCGCCTCCGTTTTTATCTCTTTGAGCGCTTCTCGCGTATACTATGACGTTACCTTGTTACATATATATAGTGAATATCGAATAAATAGTTGGGTTCGTTAGCCTCTTAGCCACGCGTATAAACGAGGCAAAAATTTGAATACTCTGTACAATCCTCAATCTATCAAGCATTACATCTTGTGTTCAGGGCTATTACTTGAATACTGGATGTTTATTCTTCATCTGTAATGAGATATCCACATCACGATATCGCGTTCAAAATATTTCTGATTTTTTTGCTCAATTGACCTAATTTATATGAATTTTTTGACTCTTTCCATTCCATCGAAACATTGTAAAATGTAAAAGCAAATTCAATTTCATATCGAATGGTATAAGTTTACTACCAGTTTTTCCATGTTTTGAATTCTATCTATTTATTTATTATTATTTTTTTGATATTATACTGCCGTTCTTTCTTTATTACCCTTTTTTTTTTAATTTCATTTTTCCTTTTTTCCGATCTCACAACTTTTCACTTTCTTTTTTCTTCCATCTCTTGAAACCTCAGCTTATTTAATATCGGCCATATCCTTTCCATTTCCATTTCATGTATTCTTATGATATTTGAGATTGAAAAAAGTCGAGTTTTGTCACCGCTGTTTGATACATAACTTGCAATATGAGACATACAGGTTTAACCTAGCATGTACGCACCTGTCAAAGATGTGTAAAAGAGTATATGAATGTTTTTAATGTAATTTAAGATTCGACGAATTTTATGAAGGTGTATTTTAGGAATTTAATAGGAAAAATTATTTTAATTTCCCATCTAAAACACGCAACTTATTCTTCCAAGTTAGTCTAGGGAGTTTTCCGTCGCTAGGACACTTGACGTAAAATACCTCATTTTCATTACATTTCTTGATACGTAAAAAATTATTTCGAATAAAACTGCTGTTTCAACTTGTCGTGTTTAGTATTGAGGCATTAGAAGCCACCGACGTTTTGCTTACACCAATCTTTCAGCTACTTTGAAAAGAAATCACTCATATACCTACACGCATCGTAAAGTCTTTGACTTGATGACTTCTGATAAAGTAAAACTGTAGCTATATATCACATGTATCGTACATAATACAGTCGCATAATCTGTGCTCCAGACATGCCGACTGTGGCATATTCACTCGACACGATACATACACTCGTATAATACTCTACGCAAGCATTAAGTGCACGATATTGTTTTTCTCCGTTTTGTCACTTTTTTTATATCTCTTCCTCCCGCGCAGTATACATTCTTTCATTCTTTAATCATTCCCTTTTTTCCAGAATTTTTTTCGACTCCAGAGGTTACGAAAGCTCGGATTAAGTGACAACGAGATACACCGACTACCGCCCGATGTACAAAACTTCGAGAATCTCGTCGAGCTCGATGTATCTCGCAACGGTAAGTCCTTTATTCTTTTCTATTATTATTATGTGAATTATAATAGAGTCATTTGAAGTGTGCGCTACTGCAAAATTCTAAGCTTTTACCTTTTATCTGAATCGCTGGGATTATACTGGTGATAATAAAATTCATGATTTTAATGAGTTCACGGTGAGAGTAATTTCATAGACACAAAATAATAAAAGTTTTAGGAAACTTTTATAATTCAAATGAAAAATGTATGCGGCATACATTTCAATCAAGAATTGGTCCATATTTTTTGATAACCTAATTACAGAAAAAACTCATTTGTTCATACACAAAACCTAATGATCTATACTTTTATGAAAAGAGATTTTTAAAAGTTCTACACATAATTAAATATAGAGTTTTCAAAGTCATTATGTGAATGTGTTAAAAAATAATGATATACTGTTGCCTGAGCCATTATTTTTTTGAGCTTGTGTTTTTTTTTTGTAATTATTATTAAATTATGTTATATTTTTTTCTATAGTAAGTAATTTCTGCATCGTGTAAGTTCCGAGGCATATTTAAAAAATAACAAATCTTATATGTTAGTTCTCTTAACCGTCGCTGTATCAAATCTCCAATAATTTTAATCGAATAAGCCAGAGGCAATATCGAAACGAACTCGATTCTTCTCGCTACATGCAGGACATTTTTAACTAAATTACATAGTTGTACGCATGACTCACACTGTTTAAATAAGCAAAATACAATCTTCATATCCAGAAATGCAGTGCTAGAACTGTAATAACTCACTCTCTCATCCTCATTTATGTTATGCCCTTTCTTGTGATTCGCCTTAAGGAATTCACAAGTCTGCACACGGAGAGAGACGCGCAGAGAAGCTCGCATATGCATTGTACCGTTATACCCTACGAAGAATTGCAAGTTATACAGTCAAGCAATTATACTGATGTTTCGAGGATTAATTCAATATCCTTTCTTGGTATGCTCTCGAGACACCGAGAGAATCAAACGTTTACTTTGTGCGCGTATGCGTGTACGATCTACTTGTGCGTGACTCGAACAAGTAATGCTTTACCGACGATTCTTGTCACCGATCGGATGTTGAACAAGCGTCTATCAATTTCCTATCGAACGAAAAGATTTACTTATGTGTGCGGAATATAATTGAATCTAGTGCGCGATAGTTCGTTTTTTCTGGGAGATTTTTTGGCGATCGATCGTCGTCGTATCCTTAAAATTACGCAGCTATAGCCAGGCGTGTGTATCCCCTATCTCAGTGTCGGTGTGCACGCACAGACGTACGTATAGAACGCTGGATCAAAGAAGCCCAAGAATAAAGCCACTCTCGGTAAAGCGCAGTCGCTAAAAATATTTGCGCAAAGCTCTCCCCACGTTTTGCAGCAGCAGTGACTCGCGCGCGCCACGCGAAGCGTCCGCGAATAATAAAAAGTAATTCATCGTCGGAGCAATTTCGCGAGCGAGTATAAATGTATATTTTACTTAGAGAGACGCGTAATCGTGATGCTCGATGGCAGGATGGAATACTGCAAACGTGTTGTGCCTTCGCAAAGACTGAGTACCGTTAAAGTCTGCGCGCGGAGGCTCGAGAGAAAACTTGGTCGGTTCTCTGCGCGCGTTACACTACTATATATAATAATATATACATTAGCATCGCCACCGTCTGAGCCGCGCATGTATATTACGGCTGGACGTGACTTCCACATGCAATATGCTAGGTAGTAGTAGCAGCACCGCGCGCTTTGCTTATTCGTTCTCCTTTTTCGCGCGAACGCGTGTATAGGGTAATACCGCGCAGAAAGCAACGCTTTTCGCGCGATAGCTTGCACAGGCACGCGATCTCGCACACGCACACGTACTTATACTCTCTTACTATGTGTTTGTGTGTGTGAGTGTATGCGATTGTTTGCCGGCTGTGTTGTAGTCGTGGACTGTAAAGTCAAGAGTCGCCCAGACACACAGGCGAGCGTATAAGTGAGTAAAATGGATTAGATTCCGTGTATATGCTGCACGCGCGTTCTGGCTCGCTCACGCTCCTACGTTGGAGTTGGATCGATTGTAATTCGAGTTTTACCGTCTGCTTTTTTATACCCACTTTTAACAAAGTAACTTCTCGGATTTTATGCATATGAAATATTTTGCGCTCGTTAATAATGGACTTGATAGCGCGCGCGAATCATCGTTTCAGTTTGCCGATTTAATGAAAAAAATCAGGGACAATATTGATTTATACGCAAACTGCGGATCGTAAAAGAAACTATTACATTCCTCTTTTCAGCTGCGAGAGGAAAGAGAGATGGATTTTACTTTTTCATTCGGCGAAAAGCTGTTTTCCAATACGCGTGCACGGCTTTCCAATTAAACATACTGCTCGCGAGAGAGGTCTTTTCATCTTTTTTCCAATGTTGATCAATATTATATTTTGCGAACTTTTCTGCCGCAACGTTCGAATATCGATCGGGGGCGCTTGCACATATACGCTATGAAGCAAAATTTACCTCGCCACAGACTGTACACAAGTGGCACAGAGATAGGGAAAAAAGGTTAATATATTTATACTTCCTTTCAACGACATAATTATATTACACGACCCACATTCATCCGCGCGTCACCCTTCCTTATCGCCGCGACTATGTAATATATCCGTCTATGCCTGCAGACTGCAAGCACAAGGGGTAACACACTCGTTTTTCTTCCTCTCCAAAGTCCTAATCCTCTTAGTCTACTCATTTTTCGCTCTGCTTTATCTTACATGTATATAAATGTGTACGCGCGCGCGTATACGTGCTTGTACATCGCAATAATAAAATCCTGCTTATTTAACTTTCTCGAAATCGCATAATCTCTTTCTCTCTCTTTCTTGTATACGCACACGGATGTATTTTACTTACGTACACAAAGAATCGTATACTAAATCTTGGCCCTTTCGAAATAATATCTAAGCTCTTTTCTCCGAACGCGTGCTTTTTACCGAGTTTTCCCAGCTCTCTGCGTACTCGAGTTGCAGCGCTACAAATGCGTCGCTGCAATTTCTGTGAAGAGAAAACCAGTTTAGCCTCGATGCTCTATCGAGTCCTGTTGTGCTCTGCACGACTGTGATATCATTTTTTTCCTTCCTCGTAACTCTTTGATGTCGCTATAAACGTGTTACTCGCGTCGTAGCGCATGCCGTGCCCTCTGGAATAGCGTGAAATACGCGCGAACTGTAGGGGGATCCTATCGCAAAGTAGACATCCTACTTGACGGACCTCTGGCTCGCCAATGCGAAATGCAAGAAAAATACACCTTGCCAAAACTAATAAATTGAGCTTTGTTGATACCAGCTCATACCAAGTAACGTTTCTTTCTTCGAGATTAGAACGCCTGGCACGAATAGAAATCGTTCAAAGCCAATCAATAATATGCGACTCGTAATAGTAGCGGTTGTTTTCTTTCGCGCGAGTTTTAAATATATCCGCATGTGCGAGCTGTAACGTGAGCGTCGTGCGCAATTATAATAGACTTCGGCACGAGAAAGCCCAATCTTTGAACATTCACACGAGTTTGTAGATGCATTATTCATAAAAATTTGGTAAACTTAAATTTATATTTATTCATTCTTAAGGTCAAAGTATTTTATCGCGTGCAAAGGGTAGATTCAAACTTGCTGTTTAGATGTATATACTTTTTAGGTATATTAAACAGGTAGCTCAAGATAAGCAGTATTTTCATTGCTACGTCATTCCTTTTTAAGTACAGTCGACAACGTAATCTATTTTTTGTGGTTTATTATAATTTTTCTATTCGATGTAGACATTATCCTTTAACATCTCTTGAGTGGCTAAGGGATGAAATTAATTGCGCCATTGAATAATACTATGTGTTATTATGTTTTCGTAGTTCTTAGATTTGATTGTGACTCGAAAAGTTGTTTTAGGATTTATTGCATTGGTATTCGTGAGTTGCAACCCACGCCCACAATCGATCATGAAATATTAACAATTTATCAAAAAAAAAAGAAAATAATAATTTGCGATTCACATGCAATGGGTATTCGACTCTACGTCCTTGTAGAAGATTCTTTGATTTATTCAAGTTAATAAACATGATCACTTTAACCATATATATATTAAAAATAGTTGACGTTCTCGTCGCATAGGATGTTAATTACGTGCAAAGTACTAAGCTTAGCTGTCTTGATGGATGCTTACGTGGTATGAGGGCATCATTGATTTTTCGACGTAGGTAAAGGCCTTGCCTCAGGGGCCAACCTCTCAAAATGTGGCTGTACATTAATGTGTTCTTTTACACAAGTAGAAATAGCGTCAAGAGACTCTTTATATAAGCTTTCGTACTATGAATGTAAAACAAGCTTGAATTTTTTTTAAACAAAGTTTGTAATGATAATCAGAAAATCCTGGCGTGTACATGAAATTATTACAAATAATAAATTTTTTTCTTCAACATATTTGTTTATTGATACAGTACATAGGGTCAATTGTATGTTTCATGTAAATACCTGTATTTTCATGACACGGACATATGATTTTAGTCATAAATATGTAACATTAAATAGCCAAAGATAAAAATATACGGAGAGAGAACAAATATAACCTACTTTTATATAATATTATATTCGGTTTTTAGTTTCAAATTCATTTTCTATATAAAAATTAATTCGTTCTATAAATAAAAAATAATGACAGATCAGGAAAAAAAGAAAAAACTTAGAAACGCAACATTTGTACTTTCAGTGAATGAATATCCTACTCCATTTATATTCTGTTGAACCTATTACGTATTCAACATAAAATAACATGTGCCGATTGCAAATAACATTACAACAAAGTGGCATGCATTACGTAAAGCTGCTATAACTGAAATGTGTAACAACAACGACACTCTGTTTTCTGCAAAATATCTTTGAGCGTTCAATGTATACGTGTATACATATGGTACCTATAAACGATTATATTTTTTATTTTTTTAACTGATAAAATGAGCTATAAAAAATACTCGTGTGTACA